CAGTAGTTAATAAGCGCAACAATTTGTAATTTAATAAAAAATCTAATATGATCAGCACATAACCAACCACCATGATAATTTTCTGGATAATATTAACGAGCTCCATTTTTAAATATATTTTTATTAGCTTAAAGAAAAACGCTGCTTGCCACGAAAATCTTTTACTAATATTAAATTATTTAAATTTTTAAGATTAGTGTTTATTTTCTGATTAATATGTATAAACTTACATTATACATGTACCCCTGAGAAATTTAGCTCTTGGTAAATATTTTGGTTTGTTAGTTTCGTTGGCAGGCAAACGTTAAACTTTAAAACATTAAACTTCTTTAATTATTCCCTTAGAAAAATTATTTAAATCCATCTCTCATAAAATCTTGACACATGTTTAAAAATTAAAGAATCAACTCTTAATCTAAAGTTTCTAAAATATGCACAGATCATTTTTCTACAACGGTTTAAAACAAATAAGAAAACGAGTAGCTTAATAATTCTCAAATAAATTTTAAGCGACAAAAATTGAATTTTTTCCGTGCTTTTTGCACACATGTACATACAAAATACATATTGTAAAAGTTACAACTTACAACTATGTACGGTTTATTGAAATTCTCCTTTTCTCAATTTCTCTCAATTTCAATTAAAATTAAGCACTGAATGTATAAATTGAATATATACATACGTATATTAACGATGATAGATGAATGCAATTGAACTTTTCAACTTTCAAAAAACAATTTAATTTTGCTTTCATATCATAAGCTAAGAAATTTCCATAAAAAAAAAACAAAAAAAAAGAAAAAAAGGAATGAAAATAAAGATTTATTTTTTGTCAAGGTCATTTTGCTTTGCTATAAATTATTCAATGATTAATTAAAAAAAAAAAAGGAAAAACTAGTAATGAAAGCGCTTTATAATGAACCTGCTATGACAAAATTAAAATTTTCAAAGGTCGTTACACAAAATTATAAGACTAATTTTGATCTGACTTACGAGTATAATATTTAGACTGATCAAATATTTAGAATGTGCATATTTTTGCAATTTTAAATGTTAATTAAATTAACTTAAAAGCAATCAGGAAGAAACTAAAAAAAATTGTTTTATTTTCAAAAATAAATATGATTACAGTATAGTAGTGTAGTTTCTAAACCTAAATAGGAATATTAAACTTAAATTTTTTTTCTCATTTCAACACATTTTTGCAAATAAGAAAACAAATTTGCGGGAGATGCGGAAATAACTGACTGAATTAACTGACAACTTTGACATCACTGACAATATTAATACGTAGAACACTAATTAACAGGTTAATGTGAATACATTTAAAAAAATTTATGTTGATTTGTGCTGCTTCACTGAAAGTTTTTACAATATTTAAAGTTATAGTTAAAAACTTATGCAAATAAATATTTTTTTAATTTTCCCAATTTGAATTTAAAAAATATTGTTATCTTCTTTAAACGTAAATAACAATATGAAATACAACGTTTAATAAGAAATTCAATTCAAGATATTTTAGAAATTCAAATTACATATTGAAATCAATTTAAATTTAATATATATATATAAGTTATTCTTTGAGTTACAAATCCCTTGTAATTTCTTTGTAAACTTGTCTAGAACTTTAATTTAATAAAAAATAATAATATTAGGTAGCAAACTTAATATGACGTAATATATTCAATTTATAGATAATTTTAAAAACAAACTAGGTACTAGATACTTATTCAATTTAGTTTTTGTGGCATCAAATAGTAACACAAAAACCATTTACATATTTGTAGAAACTTAAATTAACTTAAAAAAGACAATGCTACAGATCATTCTTACAGTGGTTTTCAGCGAAGATTCTGGACATTAACAGCATATTATAAAATATAACAAACATAACCATCAATAATTTACCTAGTTTTAATTTTATTTTTTGATAAAAATTTTAATAATATTTTTTAAATCACTAACTATTATGAATAGAAAATAATTTTCATCTTCTAATAAATTTTTGTTAAAGAAAATTAAAAATAAAAATTGTTTTTTTTTTTTTTATGTGAAAACAGAAAAACAAGCTTTCTTATATTTTTACAGAAATTATTTATAAATAAAAACAATTTAACGTTGCTCTCTTGAGCTTTGAACCACAACATTGATCACATTTTATTTTTTTTAGTTTTATTTTCAATTGAACCACTATGAAAAAAATTTTTTACATATTTATCTGTTTTTCTTTTTTTTTTTTTTAGTTCGATACATGCATACGTTCATGTTTTAGTTGGTGGTATTTGCAAAATTAAATGTATTAAAAATCTAGGTATATTAATAAATTATGTTATATACATATTAGTATATATTATTTATATGTTCATTTCTGGCAAAGTTTAGAAATTGTGTGGAAATAATAGAAATAGAAAAAGATTGTCTGCGAAGAATGGCAAAAAAAAAACGATATTTTTTTTGTATTACAATTTTAAAAATAAAAATGATTTCATCTTAATTAAATAAAATAAAACATATTTAATTCAGCAAATAATAATTATATTGAATGGGTTTTTATCGTATTATATATATGAGGATATCTACCTAACTATGTACATACATATATATATGTATATGGTTTGCAACCGGTATAATATTTATTATTTTTTCTACCTGTTGATTAATAATTAATAAAATTTAAAAGTTCAAATATATTAATAATTATTAAAAAAAATATTTCTTCTAAAAACAATCAATATTATAAATTAACTCTGCAAGCTTTACTGCTGTAGTTAGCATATAGTTTTCCAATAAGAATATTTTAAATATTTATAAAATTTCAAATAGGTATACCTATTTCTTTGGAAGCAAAAAAAAAATAAAATACAATATTCAATTCTTTCAAAATTTAAAATAATAGGTTCCTACCTACTATTACTTATATTTATTATTTTTTCTACCTGTTGATTAATAATTAATAAATAACCTGTTGATTACTACTATTACTTATATTTAATTACTAATTTAATTCAAATAATTGTGCATTAAATATCAAAAGCCGGGACATTAAGAAAGAATGAAAAAATACTTATTTCAAAAAAGAATAGGTGTCTACTTGTTTATTATTCAAAATATCATCCAATATAGTACAGTTGGTACAAAAATATTACAAAACAGTATGCTCATATATACAAAAAAATATTAGCAATTTATTGAATTAATAATGTATTAGTTAACACTGAATGCGATCAATGACGTTTGAGGGTGGAAAACTTTAAATTTTACAATAAATCTTAATAAATTCCGGATGTAATTTGTTTACTTTATAAAATACATTTGTATTATTAAGTATAATATCAGTGGCTACTACTATTATTATTCGTTGAAAACAAAATATCTTTTTATCATAACAAAACAATGTTGTGGTTTATTATCAGCACCCTTAAAACAGTAATAGATTTCTCGCATGTATTATAATTTGTAGAATTCAAATAGAGAAAAAATGGGGGAAAAATTAAAGGAAGTGATGAAAACAATGTTTTCCACCACTATTTAATTTTTCTATAAGCATTAGTTTTATATTGTCTATTTAGCTTAAATTTAGTTAAAAAAAAAATCAATGAAAATCATAATCTCATATAATTTCATGCCACATGATTTCATCTTTCCATTGAAAACATTAAGAAAATACATTTGGAGAAAATGAACTATATAAATTCATATTTAGTTCCACAATATTGTTTTTAAGAAAAATTATTGCAGAAATGAAACAATTGGGCACCCTTTCTTACAATTACATCACAACATATTGACTAGCTTAACTTAAACACGAAAAAACACATCTCTAATTTTCACGCAGCGAAATTACATTTGCTCCACAAATATTAAATTTCAACCACTCAAAGAAGAACCACTTTATGGATATACTCTTATGAAAGTTCTGTTAATAGAAAAGTTAAAAAAATATATGAATAAGTAAGGTAACTTATATGTATAAACATAATTTTGTTAAATCCTTAAATATGTATAGGTAGATCGGTATACCTTAATTTTTATAATCGTCAAAATTTTTTTAAAAAATATCTATGTACCTGCACCAACCAAAAATTTTAAATTATTATTACCTATATCTACCCAGAAAATTAATTCATAAGTACACACATAAATAAAAAAATAACAATAATAAAAAGCATTAAAAACAAAAAGTTATTTTTATATAGGTATTTCATTAATTTTTTTGTGCTCTCATCTGGCATACAGTTACGGAAGTTCTATTTTGAAAATCAAAATTTCCTCGACGAGAATGGAACAATAATGTTAATTTAAAAAACATTTTTGCACAGATAACACATATGCAATGTAAATATTAATGTAAGCAGGTATATAAGTAGTAACCTAACTATTATAAGCATATAAACGCTGCCCTCTATAAAAAGGATGTATTGGAATAAAAAATGAGATTATCGAAAATAAAGATAAACTATTTTAGAAAGAAATTCACTTATTTTTATGCACAAATTAGTATATTCATAAGTATCTAATAATTTTCAGTATTTTTTATTTAATACGTGTGAACCTTTAACTTGTTTTTAATTTTAGTATGTTTGATTACATGCACATATATTCATACAATGTTGATTCATATATTAAATCTTGATTCAATATAAAACCTACTTGACTTAACTTATCTAAGAGGAAACACGACTTTTTAATGTCTTGTCGAAAATTTTAAAATTAAACGAAAAACGCGAGTAAATGCCTATCGAATTCCAATATGTTCAAAAAAAAATCTCTTTAGCAAAGTGAATACCTACCTACCTAAGGTACATAACCAAAAAAATAAAAAAAATGTATTAAAATCTCAACTTATAGATAAACTTTTTTAAATTATTTCATGCAAGAAATTTAATGCTCTAATTACGAACATTTTGTTTTTGTCATTTTATTTCAGTATCTAGTGACAAAAATACATAAAATTTCATAACTATTGTTTTTAGTAATAAAATATTTTTTTCTAAATTTACCTTATCACACAAAGTTTTAACTTGAATTTCTGGTAATTGATTGCATTCGTTTAATTGTTCAATCCATTGGTCCAAATCTTTTGTGGTAGCTTTTTCTTCCATGTTTGTTATTTTATGTTTCTATTTCGAGATTTTCTCAATATATCCTCAGTTCGAAAATCTCGTAGATATTATATTTCTCTCAAAAATGTAGAAGGTGAATCACAATGGAAATTTTATTTTTTCTCTAAAGTATAAAAAAAAAAATCCCGGCACTGGATTAGGTCAAAACTAAATTTTTAAAATTTTATATTTAATACTATTTATTTTTTTTTTATTTCCACCTTAAATTATTGATCAACTGAATTCATAAAAAATATTATATCTTTATTTACTTTTATATTTTTCACTAGTCCGACATTTATTTTTCTAAAAAATTTCAATCTTTTTTTTTTTTTTCCTCAAACACGATTAAAAAATGAAGGTTGGTGTATCTTGAAATGAAATTAATGAAATTTGATTTTACTAATTTCTATATTGATTTTTAAAGTTTAAATGATCAATAAAGTAAACTAATCTAAATTACTGCATTTCAATAACGCTTGTAAGTAGTATCAAAATTATTAATTTAAGTAAAAAGAATGAAAATTTTTTTTTTCTTAAAAATTCTACGAACTCGCGTACGTACTGTGAAAAATTTTTAACAAAATGGCCGAACTGATGGCTTATGAGCTTGCTTTTAACAATGGCAACACATGGTTGACGTTTTTGAACTTTGTCTAATTGAAAGCACTGAAGAATTGTTCTAACCGAACGTTTACATAGGGAAAAGAAAATAAGTGTAAGAAAATTTTTATTTAACAAATGTCAATTTCATCTTCAAAATGCAAAATTATTGAACAAACAAGAGTTGTGATTACACATCAGACTAAATCTACAATTTATACGATAAAATATGATTATCATTTACACATCATTCATTCATTTATACTTTTGCAAAAATTTTTGACGGCAATATTTTTAATATTTGTAATTTATAACTACAAAAAACTAACTACTGGCTACAAAAATTAAAAATTAGCTGATCATGGCAAAAATGCTATTTTCAAAATCTGATGTTAAAGGGATATGCTTCTATTTTTTTCGTCGGATTTTATCTCATATTTCGTTTACACGTCAAATTTTCATCAGACACCTAACAGACCCCTTAGCAAGTTCGTTGTTTTTTTTTTCAATGTTTTGGAAAGGTTACTACTAGTAAAACAATTTTTTTTGAGGAAATATTAAACTTCTTTTTTTTTTTTTTCCTTTATTCACTCCTAAAGGAGCATAGGGATGATTTATCATGCCTAGTTTCATAGCGTCATAGAGTTTAACTAGGTAGGTGACTAGCCTGCCGTAGTTTTTTTTTTTATTTATATTAATTATTTGAGGTTATTAATATTTACTGTTTATTTTTCTTAGTTTTTTTTTTTTAATATCGAATATTAGGAATATTTGAAAATTACTTGTATAATATTTATTAGTATTGTATATTAAGTTATAATAATATTGAATATAATTTTTATAGTGACCTGACCGGGGTTTGAACCCGAGACCCTTCGGTTAAAGGACCGGTGCCATAACCACTGCACCAATGATCAGATTAATGATTTATTAAACTTCTTACTATTTAGATATATTTTTCGATTTTTCACTTTTTACTGCTTATTTTGCGAGTTGTGTAGACAATAAACTGGCAAATTGACGTATTTTAATACATTATATATTTGCATGTATTTAGTATATTAGTATATAGTTTATAGTTCTATACCTACAGAAAATATTTTTTGGTTTGTCTATTAAAATGATTAATCTTTCGATTACTAAAGTTATTCACTAGCAAATAATTTTGGATTTACACTTAAAAGAAATTTTCCGCCAAAAAATTTTGAATATTAAAAATGAGTAAAAAAAGTAAGAAGAATTTTGTGATTTTGGTATGGATTAAACAATTAATTGTTTTGTGCAAATTAAAAGTATGTTTTTATTGAAATTCTAAGAGATGCGTGCTAGTGGCCCCATAATTCAAATTTTAATTCCCAATCAAATTACTTTTCATTCTCTTCTTTTTTAAATCTGTGCAGTATTTTCAATCATATAAAAAAATTATAAAATAAATTCCATACAAAAATGCTAGTACGATTGCAAACAACTTAAATTAAATAACGCGTGCCAGACATCAATGTATTAAAAATTGATAAACTTCGAAAATAATCTTAAAGTAATTTGATTAAAAAATAACATAGTTATATTTTAAAAACGTCAAAGTATGTTATGTTAAAATTAATACAACTTGTCAAAAAAAATTTAACAGTATTTGTTGGAAAAAATTGTGCTGAAAATTTGAAAGTTCGATAACACTAATATTAAATAAATTTAGCTGTCAACTTGAACATTCACATCCACTTCCTTTTTTCTTTCTTTTCTATTTTCATAGCCAATTGAAGTGGTTGTACAGCGAAATTGCTGACACGTTTTAATAAAAAAAGATATATAAAATGACCGAAACTTTGCAGTTACGTGGAACACTTTTGGGGCATAATGGCTGGGTAACACAAATTGCAACAAACCCCAAAGATCCAGACTCCATTATATCAGCCTCCAGAGGTATGTACATAAGTTTGATTAAGTAGACGATTTCATCTAACCTAATAAAATGGTAAATTTTAGATAGGACTTTAATTGTATGGAAACTCACTCGGGACGATGAAACCAATTATGGTTTCCCTCAAAAACGTTTGTATGGCCATTCACATTTCGTTAGTGACGTTGTATTATCATCTGATGGTAATTATGCATTGTCTGGATCTTGGGACAAAACTCTCCGTTTATGGGATTTAGCAGCTGGAAAAACAACACGTCGTTTTGAAGATCATACAAAGGTGTGATAGATAATACTATTAAATGATATTAGGGCTTAGTTTAGGGAATTAGGTTGGTTGTCCTTTAAAGCTAGAATAGGTTCTGAAAATTTAAAATGTATTAGAAAAAGGACACCAAATTTTAAGCCTCTTAAATGAGGCAGAAGATTCCGGTACATGGTGGCAGCATCTGGAATGCGTAAGTTTTTAGGTGATCAGAAAAGAAATAACCAAACGATCAAAGTAGACACTAAGAAAGCAATTTTTTACTAATTTGTTTTACATATAACTAGTTGAAATTTTAGCTTTCAGATTCATAGCTAAAATTTACAACTTATGTTAAATTAATAGCTCATAAATTTCGTCTAATTATAAAATATAAAAATGGTATAACACTGGTTTACAATTTTAGGATGTACTATCTGTTGCATTTTCGGCTGATAATCGTCAAATTGTTTCTGGTTCTCGTGATAAGACGATCAAATTATGGAACACCCTTGCCGAATGCAAATACACAATTCAAGATGATGGTCACACTGATTGGGTTTCATGCGTACGCTTTTCACCAAATCATTCAAATCCCATAATCGTTTCATGTGGTTGGGATCGTACCGTTAAAGTATGGAATTTAGCTAATTGTAAATTGAAAAATAATCACCACGGACATAGTGGGTACTTAAATACAGTAACAGTTTCACCTGATGGTTCTTTATGTACTTCTGGTGGCAAAGACTCGAAGGCACTGTTATGGGATTTGAATGATGGCAAAAATTTGTATACGTTGGACCATAATGATATAATAAATGCTTTATGTTTTTCACCAAATCGCTACTGGTTATGCGTTGCCTACGGTCCATCTATTAAAATATGGGATTTAGCATGCAAAAAAACTGTTGAAGAATTAAAACCAGAAGTGGTATCTACTAGTACGAAAGCTGTTCCACCCCAGTGTCTCTCATTGGCATGGTCAACAGATGGTCAAACTTTGTTCGCAGGATATTCAGATAATACTATCCGAGTATGGCAAGTTTCTATTTCACGTTAAAAATTACACTTCATTCATGAAAGAAATTGAATTTTAAAGTGTATGAAATTGAAAATAAACGTTGTTTATTATATAAACAAAATTTATTGTTTGAACTGTCTATTTATTCTATTAGGTCTTATTTAATAATATATTGATTTGGGAAATAATTACCGCATGAGAAAGAGACATTTTGATATTAATATTAAGCAATGTACATATATATGCACATATTTTTCATTTAAATAGGAATTTTCAGTTCTATTACACTATACACATATCACATATGTATGTAGTTTAATATTTAAATTTAGTTATCATTGTTAAATGTAATTTGCTCTAGAACTTTTGGTGTACTTAGAGTTAGCGAGAAAACTTTGAACAAAGGTCATCTAACTATTTTGGTATAGGTAACATATAAAATTCAGTCACTATTGTGGAAAGTGACAATTTTAACTGACTTTTTAAATACGTGTATAAGAAATTCAACTGGTATAGCTATTTCAACTGTGTATTCCTGTGTAACTAAATAAAAACAATTTTATTCTTGAGAATTCCTTGAAAAATGCTTCAACATTTTTTACATAAATTTTATATGAAACAAAATATTTCCATTCAGTCAAATAATTATGCCTTAGTAGCTTATTTTTCATGTAAGAAATATTTTCTAATAATGTAACTTTTTTGATGCAGAGCAAAATTACATTCATGTTGTACTACAAACATGCGTAGGTCAACGTGAATTCCTTGAAAACAAGCTCCCAACATTTTGTTTCTAATTTACCTATAAAGATGAATCTCCATTTCCAACTCCATCTTTCAAATCTTATAAATTGTTATGAATTTTTCTACGGCTTTACCTTTCCAGTTTGAATTTGTACGTTAAAATTTTACAAATTTCATAATTTATTTTAAAATTTTTATTTTTTATATTTTTTCTTATTCACATGCTTTTATATTGTTAATAATTAAAATGAAAAATAAAAATTCAATAGCCATTATTATTGGCAGATTTTAATTTTTGCGTAAATAATATTATTAATATTGTATATTTAATGTTTATTAGTATATATATAAATATATATGTATATGTCATGTACATATATTATATATATACATATATATGTAGATCCATACTTATATTAATTATTCTATAACTAAATATTTTTATTGTTTCCTTATAATCTAAATAATAAGTTCTTTTAAAATACTATAAGATCCTAATCTTTATTTTTTACTTTTATATCGTGTTTATTCAATAAAATAATTTTTTTATATATTTTTTTTTATTTTATTTCTAGTTTTATTTCTATATAGATATTACATATTATGTATGTATGCTTGAATTTTGTTTAGTTTTGTTTAATTGTTACTTATAATAATATTTTTTTTAATATTCCATTTTTATTACAAATCATTTTTAATTAAATAAATATTTTGAATATTTATTGCAGGAAAATGAAACTAATAACATCTTTGCTACACACGAATACAAGAGAAAACATACATAAAATATTAAATATACATTAATGTTGGTTTATTGTGTATTCCAAAATTGGTTAATATGGAAAATAAAACGAAAAGAGCTTGTTTTATAAATTTAATAAAAAAATTAGACTTTTATAATAAGAAAGTTTTACACAATTAAAAAACGATAAAAAATTGGCAAATATTTTTAAAGAGTTATTAATTTTATAACTTAATTTTAAATAAATTTTATTACATTTAATTTGTATTTGTACCTTAAGCAAATCTGAACCCATGGGTTTATATTTTTATTCCTAAAGCCAAACAAAAAATTATAGTGTAGTCTTTTAGATTTTAAAAAATTTTATAATTTGGTTTTTGGCTTTTTGCCACAATTTTCCGTTTTGTTTATTTCACTTCGGTTTACAAAAAAAAAAACTTTACAATTTCTTCTTTATGTGCAATTGCACAAACTCTCAAACGCAAATATTATGCCGGGTTATTTGTTATGTGTATTATTATGTTAGATAACATCACTGGGTTAAGTAAACGGTAAATATAAGAATTTGTACTCTAAATTTATTTATTACAAAGTTTTAAAAAGTATTAATTAATTTTTTATAATGAAGTAAATTCAAATAGCGCATTCGAATTTCTTGCAAAAGAAATTCGATATCTTGAATTATTACTTTTAGACATAGTTTTAACTTTCGATTAACACCCACATAAGTTCATAATTTAAACTTAAGTAAGTATTTTTGTTTATTTTATATTATAAGATCTGATATTTTTTATTTTGTCTTATTAATTTCCATCTAATCACAAATTATTATATTTGTTTGTTTTCTGTAAGGTTTCTATTTTAATAATAAAATTTTAGTTTTATTTCCTTACTAATTCTGCGTTTTAAATAATAACAGAGAAAATAATTTAAGTTGAATTAGGAATACAAAAAAAAACTCGATTTCTTTAAAAAAATTTCAAAATTTCGAATACGAATCATAAAAAACAAATTATATACTACAAATATTTTTTAAACTACTCTCGTAAGCATCTTATACATTAAGTTTTTGTAACAGACATATACGAAATATAACTACAATTTTGTCTTGTATTGCACTTTTAACGACTATTTGTTTTAAAATATGTTTCCGGAATACAAATTTTAAATTACAGCATATATATTTTTTAATTTACACAGTCACATATGGTTCATATTATTCATATATGTAGGTATTATTTCCTTGAAGAAAATATGTCCCATATTTTCCCTATTAATTAATAATGTATAAAATATGGTACAAATAATACATGTGGTTAATGTAAATTTTAAACATTAATATTTTTGAAGAATACTATAAAACTAAAAGTAATCAAATAAGTTCTTTTAAGGTCATTATTGAAAGACTATTTGTTTTTTTTTTATTTGAAACATTTATCTCAATAATTCTTAGATTAAATGAAATTATCTAAAAAACTATAAAACTCAGCATATTCAATTAGAAAAATATTATCCATTCTATGCAATTATATAACTTCAAAAAAAGCGTGCATATTTATAAATAATATATACATATGTAAATTAACCAAATGGATTTTACATAATATACAAGTAGAAGATTCGCCATTATTTTGGATAAAAGAAATATGTATTTTACTATTAATAATTGGCGTTTCAAAACACTGGTAAAAACTTTTACTTAAATTACTTTACTTGGAAGTTTTGTAGTTTAAAATTTGAGTTTGTATTTTCATAATTTTTGAGTGAGAAAAAATCAGGAACATAATCGTGGATAATTTTTTCCATAAAAACCAATTGAATCACAATCAAGACTACTTTTTTGAGCTCAGCTCCATTTGCAGAGATAAACAAAGAGACATAAATTATTAATAAATATTTATCTCCGGTTTTTAATCTCTTAATATGTGTAAATAACTAACTTCATATATAAGTATGTATATAAAAGTGTAAATATAAAACTAAACAAGAATACAGTGATGACGTATAATACCTTAAAAATAAGTTTTTTTGTCCACAAATATTTAAAATTTTACAATATAAAAACATGCTTACCATGACAAACATAATACTTAGAAATGCATTCATTGGTTTCCAAAATTAATAATATATATGCATACAAATATAATTAACATATTATATGTTTATACTAAACTTAAAAATTTGAATACAATTATTAATATATGTGATAAAGTCAATTTTCTAATCGATTATCTTCTTTCTTTTTTGTCGCAGTATTTAGAAGTACCAAAATTTTTTATTGCTTGATTTTAAAAATTAAAGTTTTGTTTTAATAACCAACTGGATTTTGTTCATTGGAAGCAATATGGTGTATTTGTTGCAATTGATTTCGATTTGAATTATCTGCATTTGTTTGAATTATTCCAATAGATTGTTGTTGATCATTTGCATTTTCTTGATTTTGAGGTGGTTGAAGGTGACGTTGTTGATTTTGTTGAATATGAGGAATTTGTTGATGATTTTGATGTATATGAGGTAATGGTTGTTGCTGTTGTTTAGAATGCTGATGAACCTGAGGTGGAGGATGCTGCTGATGTTGTTGTGATGATTGTTGCAAATGTGTTGATTGTTGTTGCTGCTGTTGCTGTGTTGTTTCTTGCTGCAAACGTTCTGGTTGTCCAGTATGTGAAGGCGGTGCTGCGACTGCCGTATCCATTGGAATAACTTGCTGATTATTTGCATTGGAACTACCACTATTATTTTGTGTATTTGAAGTTATTTGCTGAATTGTATGCATGGTATGCGAATTTATGAGACTATTCACTGGTAATATATTTGTTTTATTTAAGGTCGGAATTCTTTCATTAAGATACTGTGGTTTAGTTGTTGTTGTTGAGGTTGTCGTTGTTGTATTTACCATATTTTCAGTTTTTATAGTCGTAACAATACCGGTTGGGGTCAATATAGCATTCGGATGATTTATTTTCATATGACGTTTTAAGTTGCCCTTCTCAACAAAACTTTTTGAGCATAAGGTACATTTATGGGGTTTCTCACCAGAATGTGATCGCATATGTGACACTAAGTGGCCCTTACATATAAAGTCCTTTGGACATTTGTCACATTTGAAAGGACGCTCCTGATCCTGACCTTTAGTATGACTTCTCTGATGAAATAATAAATTTCCTTTTAGAGGAAAAGATTTCCCGCATGTTTCACAAGCATATGGGCGATCTCCAGTATGGCATCGTGACATGTGATTTATTAAATGCTCTTTTCTTGTAAACGGTTTATTACAAACATTACAACAATGAGGATTATCACTTGAATGTTGTCTCATATGATTATTCAGATGTTCTTTACGGGTAAAAGTTTTTTGACAGTACTCACATTTATGCGGCGAATCACCAGTATGTAATCTCACATGATTAGTTAAATGTTCTTTTCTTGTAAAGGTTTTCTTGCAATACGTACATTTATGTGGAGATTCCCCTGTATGTTGACGAACATGATTTGTCAAATGTTCTTTTCTAGTAAAAGTTTTTGTACAATATGTACATTTATGCGGTGATTCACCTGTATGCTGCCTGATATGATTAACCATATGATCTTTGCGCGTAAAAGCCTTTGTACAATAAGTACATTTGAAAGGAGTTTCACCAGTATGTTGTCGAACATGATTCACTAAATGTTCTTTACGAGTAAAAGTCTTCATACAATACGTGCATCGATGGGGAGATTCACCAGTATGTTGTCGAACATGATTTAACAAATGTTCTTTTCGAGTAAAAGTTTTTTGACAAAAATCACAGCGATGAGGTGTTTCACCCGTATGCCACAAAATGTGGTTAGTAAAATGTTCTTTACGGGAAAAAGCTTTTTTACATATCTCGCAACGAAAAGGAGTCTCGTTAGTATGAGATCTCATATGATTTGCCAAATGTTCTTTCCTAGTATACTTCTTCCCACAAAGCTCACACTGATGCGGAGTCTCTCCAGTGTGCCACATGCAATGATTCACATAATGTTCTTTTCTTGTGAAGAATTTCTTACAAATATCGCAACGATGTGGTGTCTCACCAGTATGCTTTCTTACGTGATTCACCATATGTTCCTTCCTTGTGAAACTTTTAGCACAATACTGACATCTGAATGGAGTTTCGCCAGTGTGACTTCGGAAGTGATTATCCAAATGCTCTTTGCGGGCGAAAGTTTTTTGACAAATTGTACATGCGAAAGGTTTATCTGTAGAATGTCTTTTCATATGGCGTTCAAGACTAGGTGCATTCGCAAAAACATGAAAACAAACATTACAAGTAAACATCGGACAATTAGCATGAATTTTTCCATGTTGTGTCAAATCCTGGGACGTTTGGAATCCTTGACCACAAACTTGACAGTTAAATGGTTTGCGTTCGTTGTGATATCGCCGGTGGACTATCAATTGATAACGAAATTGAAACATTTTACCGCAAATATCACACGTATGTGTGGTTCCGTTAGCATTTCCTTCCAAACCTACAAAATTGGTTGTATTTTGGCCTGAAATTTGATTTTCCATTTTAGGCATTATTAATTCATTGGGGTTGGTTGTGTTAACATTAGAAACTGACGTTGTGGGAATTGAGAGAACTTGTTGAATATTTTGATTATTATTTTCAGAAGCATTTCCTTGGTGATGGCTAGTTGACAATTGAGGCGTTGGATGAGATATTACATCACCATGAATCTTACCAAACACCTCGTGATATGACAAAAATTGACTTAAATCTTCTATATTTACTTTGTACATTTCAACGCCTAGTGGTTGTTTTCCTATTTCATGTTCTGGTGGTTGCACTTTAATTAACTGACCCTCCGAATTTCTGGCTTCAATTAAATGTTGAACATTAGCTTTGCTATCAATATTTAAAGCTTGAGGTCGGGTATCGATACCCGTAGTTACCGGTTTAATATTCGTATACATTTTTTCTTGCTTTATAGAATCTATAATAGAATTTGGTATATGCCTTTCAATGGACAGATTCTGTTGTTCATTATTATGATTTATATTATGCGCAGATCTGATGTCTCCAATTTTACTTCCTCCATTGTTTGATTCAACTGATTTTTCAACTGACGCGTGTTCCATTATGACAACTTCCGGATTAATTTGAACAGGATGATGATGAAGTTGTTGTGAAGAGTTGTTTGCTGTAATTATTGTCCCATTTGCTAATTGATGAGAATTGTTTGAGGTATGCATTATGGAATTTGTTAGCTGCATTGGATTTGTGCCATTGTTTATTGAAGAAACTGGAGTATGACGCACATCTTCTTGTTTTATCATATCGGATTTTATAACGCTACTAGATTTTGAAGAGTGCGTTGAAGATATAGGAGGTGGTAAAGTAGAAACTGTTGTAGTAACTGGAGAAGAACCATAATTATTTTGGCTTGAATTAGATCCTGACACCAAATTTGTAACGACCCAGTATTTTCCTAATTCATTTGTTTGATTTTCATGGCGGTTTGTTAATTGATGTGGTGGTGAATGTCTTTGTAATTGTTGTCGCGTTTCTAAACTTGTGCCAGCTTCAGTAGAATGCTCAGAATTCATTCTTATTTATATAAACAGATATAGATCAGCTATAGTATATATAGCTAGCGTACAAATTTCACTTAAACTTATTTAGTTATACTGTATTCAACTTATTATTTACTTTAAACCAAATATTTTTATTTTATCTCGTTAAAATATTTAAAACTACAAGAAATATTGTAGAAAATTTTATATTTATCACTGGATTTTTTGTCTAACATTATAAAATTTTAATTTTTTGTCTGCCATTTTATTTATCAAAAACTTCCAATCAATACATAAAAAATACATGAAGTTGACACATTAAAAACGTCATTTACAAAATATTCACAATAATTTGTAGTTAAATTCAACCATAAAACAAAAAAATCTTTCAAAAACTCAACGCATTTCCATTTAGAATTTAAAATATTACGACATTTTTTAAAATAATACGATTTGTATGAAACTGCAGTGACAATCAGTGTTTGTTACTTTACTGCAATAAATAGTTCGTTTTAGTTTGCACCTCTAGGAAAGTTTAAGAATGTTAATTTGGTGAGCTTTTTATTTATTTTTGTACTGACAATATTCGCCTTGTTTGTCACATCATTTACTATTTATTTAAGGTGGTGCACTGATTTTAAAGAACCCTCGCTTATTTTTTTAATTCTTTATACCTAAATAGCAAATCAGAATCGAACACGCCACGCGGATTTCTCGCCGCATCGAGAAGTTGATAAGTTTCTTTGGTGTGCTGTTAACCGCAAAAAGAAGATAAGTGTACACGTCATAAAAAGTATCAAATTTTTCGACAGCTAATACCCACATAAAAATTCTAAGCCCCACAAAACAAAAATTAATAAAAAAAGAATTTTTCATTCTGTTGTTTCATAAAACTAAGATTAATTATTACTCAATGCAGATGATAAGTTTTTTTACATAATTTTTTTTTTAATATTGAACAAATTTTGACAAAATATAAAATTTTTGGGCAAAAGCAAATATTTTAAGGGTTTTTATTAATACGTTGTCATCTATTGAACCCGAAAGCGTCAAAATAGATTTTTTATTCATTCAGAATTTTTCCAACGTTGTATTCTGCCTTTTTTATTCGAGTTAGAATATTTCGAATTCATGCCTTTTATCCTATGTATCCATCTTGTAACGTAAATTTTTTGTTTTTGTTTATATGCAAATAACCAAAACATGTTCCACTGCATTCTACCTTCAATATTTTTTGGTGATATCACGCCAGCTGTCAGTACTACCAACCTAAAAATATTTTGATCGCTTCTACAGACACGACTGCCAGAAAGCAATATTGGGAACGCTACCTAATAGTTTTATCACGTCAGAGATGCAAACTTTTTAAATTCCAAATTGAAACTTCTAACAGAAATATTAAAAATATTTTTTTTGCATAATTATTTTTTAATATTAAAAAAATTTATTTTGGCAGAAATAAGTAAGAAATACTGAATTGAAATATTTTTTGGTTAGATGTCGCTACGTATGTCGAAATCAAATTTTTCAGAAATTGAAAATTAAAAAGGGACTTTTTTCTTTCTTAAATAAAGCAAAGATAAAAACAATAAAAAAAAAGTTGAAATTTTAATATTTAGAGGATTTTAAAAAATATGTACATATGTATGTAAATAATTTTAAAAATTATGTTGAAGGATTTGTTACTAATGATGTTGATTATTTTGTCTTTCATTTATTTCCATTTCATTTTTTTTTAGGACCCTTCAAAAATTTTTAAAATAAGTGCTTATTTATAACCTATATGCATAAGTACTTGAGAATTTCTATCTGTCTGTTAAATTAAAAAGATTGTCTGTTAATATTAAAAAGAAATGTCTGATGGAATTAAGCGTTACCTATTGTCCATTCATTTAATTTAATTAGCTACTTTTAATAAAAAATCTTTTCGATTTGTAATTATGTAATTTATTTTGTCCATAAAATACAAATATCTATGTGTGAGTGTCTACACACACTATGACTAAATGTATACATATTCACGCAGTCAGTACCAAAGTATATCTACTAACAAGGTAGTTCGACTCTCCGTTTACATCACACTAATGCAATCACTCACCAATTTTTGTATACAAAAAATTCCCTTAGTTAAAAGAGTTAAGCAGTATACCTTCTTATTTTCATTTTTATACACATAAGAATTTTTGGGAGAGAGAAAGAGTACGCAATAGATGTCAACCTGTTTTTTTATAATGTAATTTTGAAAGGCGACACTTTATTATTTGTTCCTATATAAAGTATAGGGAAAAATATTAAGAATTTTAAAAGCGACACAATAATTTCTGTAATTCATTCCAGTACAAGGTGGCAAAAAATGTGTATTCATATTATAAAAGCGAAGCGGAAAAAAAGTGTTTAAAAAGAATTATTATAATTTATATGAAAAATAATAAAAATAAATTTTAGAAAGACGTATAATATTAAAAAAATTTTAAGTAGTTGTGAAAAAAAAATTTTTTTTATAATAATGGGTAAACATTATTTGAAGTGTTTGGGATGAAAAAAAGCCGACACGAAAATTTCATTTGTTGCCAAAAGATGTGAAGAGGTAAATATGTACTTTTGAAAATATTTTAAATTTTTAGTGTTAAGCATTTGTAATTAATAATTATATTAATAAATAAAATAAATAAATTATTTTTTCAATCTTAATAAATTTAAAACATATTTCCTATGAATCGGCAATGATTATATTTCATAAAGTGACCAGTATGCATACACCTTTTTTTCTTTATAAATTACTTTATTTCTATGATACTGTGAATCTACTGTACCAGGTACATGCATGTGTACATTCATACATGAAATTTCAAACTCTTTTGCTTTCATACATTCGAATTTATCTAAATTTTATAAAATGAAAAATAAATTTTGTTATTATCAAAATAAAAATAACAAAATTTTTACCTAATTTAATTTTATTTTATTTTAGTTCAATGTTTTTGATACACTCGTTTGTTTACAATATTTTGTTTCTTTCTTGCCTACACAACACTTATTACCATCTATTTCTAAACAAAAATGGAATATTTTAAAAATTTGGAAGCAAGATGCAAATGAAAACTAACGGAATGGAACGAGTCGAATTACTTATTAGTAGATATACTTTGGTCAGTACTTTTAATAATAAAAAAAAAACATAGTGCCCTTTTGGAAAAAAATGATGAAGGTCAAATCACATGAACTGAATTAAATGATTTCAAGATTTTAAAAATTTTTAAATTTTTGTAAAAATTTTGAATAATATAATTATGTATGTATTTATTATAAGTATGTGGTCTGTGGTGATATGTATTTCAAACAAAAATATTTTTATTTGTGTTATTATTTTTCATAAATATAAGCAGGGAAATTTTTAAGGAAATTCCTATTTTTCAGTTTTTAAAAAGAATATTGGTTTACGTCAGAAATTATAATATTAATATTTGGTTTTTGTACCTACTTGAACATTTTCATATACATATTTTGTAATATTCAGTATTTTTTTTAAAAAACTGAAAGGAAGAAATTTCCCATCAAAAAAACTGAAAAGTAGAAAAATAAAATGTTCACTTTTTTTTGTATGAATTTCAAATAAAAGAGTCTCTGATTTTATTTAAATTATAAGTCATATGTATAAATACATACATACATGCAACCAATAACAAATTATTATTTTTATGCTATTTTTATTATTTTTATGCAAACTTGAAATATTTTTGATGCATTCAAACAAAATTTTTCACAATGCTTTAGAAACAAAATTCTATTTTCGCAGATTTCAAAGTTTTTATTTGCCGAAGATATTTTGTATTAATTTTAAATTAGCACTAATTATTTCAAATACCCAATAATTTTTTTTTTTAATATAAAGTTTTCGGTAAAGTTTTGTATTAAAGGAAAATATGGTTAGAATTTGTTAAATTTACCCAATGAAAATTTTTCAATTTAAATTTTATTTTAAATTTTTTTTATCGGAATTTAACTCGGTACTCCTTTTAAATGGGAATGAGGAAGGTCTGAGAATCGATTGAATTTCTGTAAATTTTAGGAAATATATTTCTAATAAAATTTATTTTGAATGAAAACTTCCCTGTAAGTAATAGTTTTGACAAATAAAGAAATAAAACTCAAAAATTTATTTTTATGAAAATCTTTTTGGGTACTTTTAGATGTAAATGATTTAAAACAGAGAAGGATGATGAAATTTTTTGTTCCTTCATATAAACTACATTTTTTTAAAAACCATAAAAGGAAAATGAGAATTCCTAATTCTAAGAGGTGGCCTCATATTATTCGGGGCAGTGGTTTTAAATAATAAGTTTATTTTTTAATATGCCGAAATGAAGTTTATGTGAATTATCAACGAATTGTTAAAATTATAATTTTTTTTATAAAAGCACGAATGTGATTCAAAATTATAACCATAGAAAAAAATTTATATTTAAACTCTCAATTTTGATTTTTCTTTTTTTTTATTTAGTTTTGCTTTATATTTTCTTTCAGTCTGAAACTTATTTTTTTCTTTTTTCTCTATTGAAATATTAACAATGTTTACTGTTTAAATGTTAATTTCTTGATTTTAGTAATTATTTGTACATTTTTATATTAATATTAAATACAAGTTTTCATAAACGAATTGTTTTTGTATTTTTTTTATATATTATGTTTTTAACATTTTCAAAATTATATTCAATTTTTGTTGTATAATAGTCTATAAATAGCTTATAAAGTTTGTTCTTATTGAAAACGAAACTAAAACCTTAATATCAAATACACATTTTATATAAACTTCAAAATTCATTTTATCTAGTAGTTACTCGCATTCTTTTTTTTTTAAGTATTTTCATGTTTTTCTTTTTAATTACATTTATCAAATTGCTATTATCAATTAAATTTCGATTTTATTAGATTTGCTTTTTTAAAAATACTGAGACTTTCAAATATTAATTTTATAATTTATCCAATAAACTATTTAATATGCTAGGTATGTATGTATGTAACAAAAACTGAAAATAAGTATTACAATTTTTCTTATGTAAAAAGCCTAATCAGAAATGTCAATCGCGAATTTTTACCTTTGCAATCGAAAATAAAATATTTCACATAACGGTTAACGAACTTTTTACAAATTAACCAATTTGACATTTCTTATTATGCTATTTGTTATAGATTAAAACTGTACACTTACAACGATTTTAGCTGAATTATTTCAACTTTATTCTCTGGCTTACTTTCTATTATTAAATAACAATTTTATATAACTATGTAATTACAAAAAATTAAAATTTTGACATCAGAATTTTCCTTAAATTTATTTATTATCGGTATTATTAAATCTTTTTATAAAATATTAAATTATACAGTATTTTTTAATTCTTTCATATTTTTATTTTAACATGATATTTTGTCCTTTCTCAGATATTTCAAAATTATTTATTAAACTTTTATTTAAAATGATAAAACAAATTTAAGGTTTGTGTTACTATATATTTACTTAATATGTACATAATATTAATAAAAGGGCATTTTCAATTTAGTTTCCCTTTTATTTCAACCGGCATCTTTCAAGCCTAATTTATTAGGACTGTTTTGAAATTTTCGCATTACAAAATTTAAAATACATTACATATTTAATATTTTTTGTGTATAAGTTACTACTGAGTATTAATCATACATAATTATGTACATAAATATTTATTTTTTGTGTAGTGTTTTTTTAGGAATATAAAATAAAAGTATAAAATGTTCAATTAAATTTTGTTCATCTATTTTTATAATTAATTAAATAATCATAAATTAAAAATTGTCAAAAATTTAAAATATAAATACAAATAAAATAATTTTTATCATTTACATACAAATTATACTTACATAATTTAATAAATACATTTTTTAATGTATTAAAATTTCAACAATAAATTTATAAAGTTTTTAATAAATACAATTACATTAAAAATTTTTTTTAAAAAGTAATTTCCACAAATAAATCTAATAAAAATTTAAATTAAGTTATAGTGATTGATTACAATAATAAGATTAATTAGATAAGAATTAATGTAGGTATTTGTTTAGAATTCGATATAATTTTGCTATTGAGTCATATTTTTAACATAACTCTGGAAAGCATGGAACTGAGTTTAATCGTGAAAGAAAAACAAATAATGCCACAATTTTATTTAAAACTTTGTTTTTTTTTTTTTTAATTAATTTCATTTATTTGAAAATATCCTTATTTAAAATTTAATCATTCTGAACAACAAAGTGCATGTTTCAAATAATTGATTGTATTTGATACAAAACCATGCTTCAAATAATTGATTGATTTGATTTAAATTTGTTGAAAAATTCAACAAATTCAATTGATGAACAAGAAATTATCAAAAAATTCATGAATTTTAAAAATTTAAGCTCTTGAATAAGAGCATCTGCCAAAATGCAGATCTGACATCAATTCGATTTACTCACCAATACAATTTCAATTGCTGAACAAGTTAAATTGACGTCAGATTTGCATTTTGATGAACACCCTAGTTTTCTAACTTTTTTTTGCAATTTAAAATTTAAAAACAAAAAAAAAATAATAAATCAAAAATAAAAAAAATATATGAAAAATTAAAAACCTTTTAGAAATTCTTTTTGCAGGAAGTAATATTTTAATTTGTCTTGATGGTTTAAGTAAAAAGTTAAGCTTCCATTCATCATTAGACGACTTTTTCTTAAAAAAGTTCGACAAATTCTAATTCTCAAAAAAAAAAAAAAAACAAAAATTTTTTCTTTTTGAGTATTAAAAAGAAACCTAAATATTTTCTGTAGTTCCCTCTAATCCACTCCCCTCAAGTGTTAAGTTTAATTTCTTTTCTTCTTTTTAACTTATAATTACATTCAAACGAAATGCGAAGGACAGAAATATGTATATGTATATGGGTGCATATTTATTTAAAATAAAAGTTCTCGCTGCATTTTTGATTTTAAATTTATTTTTATTTATTACATTAAATATTCGATAAAGCGATTAAAATTATGTAAGAATAATTGCACGAAAGTATCATAATTAACGTACACAAGAAAATCATATCATTGCATAAATTTCACGACTAATTACACAAAAAAAATTTTAATTTTCACAAATATTTTTTTATTAAGATGTTTTCCAAAAAAAAACTACAACAGAAAATAAACTTACCTCTTAAACACACTTTTATAAATAAGGTTAATTAAATAAATTATTTTTAACGAATTATTCAAAAATGTTATTTCTTTTTTTTTGGTACTTACATATTGTTTATATTTCACACTTTATTAACTTTACACAAAAAAAAATATATACGATTTATACGAAACATATTCCACCGCCTGAAGGTTGCTCTGGTAATACACTATACACTTTTCTTTCGTTGCAACACGAATATTAAGATTGAAATATTAATTTTTAAACTAAATTTCTACTTCACACCTCCTTTTGCTGGTATTTTGAATTCATATTTCATTTTCAAATTAAATTAAATTTTGCAATATACATATATAGGTAACTATATATCTAATAAATTCTATTATAAATTAAATTTTCAAATTACATACTCTAGGACAGACATTAATTATTTAGTTTTGTATATAATGATAATCAAAAAGTATATAATACATTTATTCCTCAATGAAATTCAGGAACGGAGATTAAAAAAAATCTATTAATGAATTTAATTAAATAAATAAAATAAGAAATGAACTAAAACATTAAAAAAAAATTCAAAATTTAAAAAAGTTTTCGAATTTCTTTTAAACACAAAACGTCTAATTTTTATTTTTTTAAGTAATATTTTGCTCTTTTATTTTTTGTATTTTTTTTTCTTTTTTTTCAAATTTTTTGTCTATTTTTTTATACTTAATTTTTTAATATTTTTCTTTTATATATTAAATCTTACAATTTAAAAAGAAAATTTTGCATAGTATTTTTTTTTTAAAATAAAAAAAAATTAAAATATAATTACTTATTTTTTTTTTTACTTTTTTTTTTAATAAGAAATAAAAAAAAATATTATTTCTTATCAAACTATTTTAAATGTTTTAAAAATTTTTTAAATTAATTTTTTTTTTGTGTCTGACTATACTTTATTATAACGCCTGATTGTCCTCTTCACCATCTTCTTCATCATCTTCTTCTTCTTCTCCTAGAAATTTTTAAATTTTAATTAATAATTAGGAAAAAAGAAAAATTAAAAAAAAAAAATAACATGTATTCCTTTATATATTTATAAGAAATGAGATGAGTACTTTGGCAGTGATTCTACTGTTTTTTCTTGAAAAAAATTTTTATGAAATTTTCGATTAGAAACTGTGTATGTGTACACAAACAAATTGTGATGCATTAATAACCTTAGTTTATTGCGATTTCATTAATTTATATAGGAATTCCGAACGTTTTTCAATATTTTTTTATATTCATGATATGTATGTATATAAATGAGGTATGTAAAAAAAGTACCATTAAATTTTCACTCAAACAAAGTTTTGAAAAAGATTTAGCATACTTATGCGCGAATTCGGATACAATCTTGCAAAATATGTGGCAGTTTAAACAGAAAAAAAAAGATATTATGTTCATCAAAAACTACGTTTTAACAAAAAAAAATTAATTTGGCTATTGCCAGAGTAAAAACTTTGTAGAAATTTAATTTTCTTAATTTAAAGAAATATTTACGGCTTTGCCAAATTTTCCTGCTTTTGAATATTAAATATTTTCGCAGCGATTTTAAATAGGTGTTTTGTTGAACGATGGCAGATTATTGCCTCCTACAGCTCTCACCTTTTTCAATATTTACTTTATAAATAACTTCCTTCCAAAAAATTACATAGGTATGTAACTAGGTAGTTGCACATATTTTATCGGAAAAAACAAATTATATAATTTAGTGTTTTGTATGTAGATTTTAAGGGCCTCAGATCAGATAAGATAAGGCAGATAAGATTCACATTTAATATTTAGTGTATAAAAATAAAATCGATTTTCAATATGTAACAAAGTGACAAGAATTTCATTCGATTTTTATTCGATCACATTAATTTAAAGAAAAAAGACTTTTAAGTGTATAATACGTGTTTTAACAACTTTTTTTTAATTGTGCTTTAAAAAATTTTTTAATTTAACAATAAAGCAGAAAACTTGAACTTGAACGAAAATTTTGCGTTCATTTTGGTCTTTTTATTTCAAAATCATTTTATCAAAATAATTCGTATAAGTTTTGGCAAATGAGATTTATATGATTTGAAATTCTGAAGGCAAAACAAAAATCAATTATTAGTAAAGAGTTTTCAGTTAACGTTTTGCAATATGATATGTTGAATACCTTTCCTTGCTCCTTGTTCGAAGGAACCTTGTCATACCATATTGCAACAATAAGGGAACAAACAAGATAATCAGGTAATTGAAAATAAAAAAAACTTTAATTTGCAGTTCAGCAATTATTAAATTGCAATAGTGAATTGCCTACTAAAATTGAATTTGTTAATTCACCTTCACTATCGACATCTTCTTCTTCTTCATAGTATGGAATATTATAATCAATTTCTTCTTCATATTCACTTTCAACTTCTTCAATACCTTCTTCTAGTAGAATATCGTCGAAAGTAACTTCCTCTTCCTCTTCACCATCACCATTTTCTTCTTTTTTCTTTTTCTTTGATTCTGTGGCATTTTCCTGAAACGAAAAAAAAAATTAGTTCACATTATTTGCAAATTATTTTGTTTGTTATTATTCGTTTGAGATTATTTTACGTTAAATGAGTGACAATTGAAAAATTCGATATAAAATAACACTAAAGATATTTTATGAAGTTGATAAAAGTACGTTTGTTAAAAAACCAAAAATTATGAAATAGTTTCTAAAAATGTAAATAAATCTAAAATTTTACGACATTTTATTGCCTCTTCTTTTAAGAAAATGGCGATACGACCTAATTTTAATCATTATAAAAACTGATATAATTATATTGAATTATATCTGGTTATCTTATCTGTTCTATATTTTTTTAAATGAAATTACAATGTGACAAAATTTAAACGATGTTTCTAAAATCAAAAAATATAATACATAAGTATGTATAATGCCACACAGATTTATTTCAATTTAATGTTTTTTTATCTACGATATGTACTTCGAGACCCTATCGCAATTGAAGATTTGTTATGAACTGAAAAATCTTTTCAGTTAATAACAAATTAAATGACTCAAGCCATATTATAAAGCTTACGTTAAAAATTAATATTGTAATGTTTGTTGTGATAAAAACACCATAATACAGACCTTGTTCAAAATAGTTTAAAATTCTCACTAGACTGTTGGATCATGGAAATGTAATGGGTTTACTTTAATTTCCCGCATTTTTGTAGGAAAATGTTTTCATTATTTTCGAAACTTTTCTACTGCAAAGTTGAACGGAAGTAAAGAAAACTGTTACAATAAAGTACATGTTCAAGGTCGGTTAAACAAAAAATAAGAAAAAAAAAATGTAAAAACGAACTATAAAAAAACTCAGACCTGTATACCTAAAAAAAAAGAGGGAAACGATTATTTTAGCTTTTTATTTTAAATCTTATAGGTCTGTTTATAAATTTTTAACAACACCACAAAAAAAGGACAAAAGCAACGTGCATTTAATTTTATAAATTCTTTATTATAATAATGCATCGTTTAAAAGAAAATTACATACTAATTATAGAATGTCAAACCATTTTATTTCGCATTTTTTAGTTTTTCAAATGGATTTATTTATCAATTTTAGAAATTTAGAAAGCTAAAATTTTCGAAGCATATTTTTACCAACTTATTTAATTTGAAGAACCAAAATACCATAATTTCAAGCCATTGTTTATTAAATTATTTAATGAAGTTTAAAATAAAAAGTTTTTAAAAAAATTTTACAAAGTGGCGTCATTTATTTTCATTCGATAATCTAATTATAATAACGCTTTATGTGTGTGTGAACACCCATATGTCATGTCAACAAAAAGTAAAAAATAAGTAACCACAGCTTCTTTCAACTATCTATGTTGTATTTTTATTGACAATTATACCGGCAAAAACTCACTCAAATTCAATTTTCTCTCATTTCCATTGACTTTATAAAGAATAAATACTAATACAAAACTAAAATTGTTTACGTGATATTTTCGTTTATTATACAATATACACTACACACATTGCATTAACCCAACCACAGTTTTGTTTTATAATCTAAACTTATATGTTTGTATTTGTTATGTCATAAATACATAATATGTATTAACATTTTGCTGGGAAATTTATATGTATGTATATGAAGAGTATTTTTCAACTCATGTGTAAGTGTTAAAAAGAAAAGTGCATACATATTTAAACTATTTTTATGAATGACATTTTGTAAACAGGACATAGTGTGTCACCTTAATAAGCATTTTTTCCAAATATGAAATTAAAATGTCAAATATTCAAAATATGAAGTGTACGCGCTTTCAGTTTCAATTTTAGTTTACTATTTCAATTAGATGTTAATCAGGTCAAATGTCCTTAAATATATATATATATATATATATATATAAAAATACAAGAAAATTATATAGGTATGTAATCCATTCTAGAAGTTGGAAATGCTCTTTTTATTCCGCAATTCTTAATATATAAATACATACATATATAATATATTGCATACATATATTATTTAGTAAGCATAATATTTATTTAAAATTATATTACATATAATTTACTACATATGCAGAAACAAAAAATTATTAAAATTAACTATCACCCTTCATTTAAGTTTATTTAATTTTCCTAGCGTTTTAATTAAAATCAAAAGTAGGTAGGTTAATAAAAATATTGGTAGATACTCATATTTTCTACTTTCATGTAATTCACGTGAACAGATATATAAGAAACAAAAAAAATTATGAGACGAAAGAAAAATTTAATAAATCGAATGTGTAAAATGTATAACTACTATAAGTATATTCATATATTTATATTTACCAATGTATTACACATATGAAAATAAAAATGTAGATATGCATAAAAGGAAGGAGAATAACCGGCCGGTAATTTTTTTTTTTTATTTTTAAGCAGTTTCACTTCAAACTGTACTAAAAAAAATTAAGGGCATTTTCTAGTAAAAACTATTTATGTTATTGATCTTACTGTTTCATTTAAAAATGAAATACATAATACGAGTAATGTTAGATAATTTGATAATTCTTCGAGTTAAAAAGAGAGCTAAATTTTATAAAAATATTAAGAAAAACTTGAATTAAAAACAATATGTCGTTTAAACTCAAATATATGTATGTATGTATGTAGTTTCGTAATTTGTGTTTTGTTATCAAATTGTTTTTAAACAAATTAATGAATTTTCTGCTGAATTTCTTTTTATACATATAGATATGCATGTATGTATGTCGTACGACAAGTGGAGAAGGAAAGATATAATGTAGATAATTTTAAGTTGAAGTCAAAGTTGCTATTCTTGATCAACATATTTAAACTTTCGATTTATAGGTATAGATATTTATGTCATTTAATCTTTTTATATTTTAAATATGCGTGAGAATTTTATATTTGTGTGAGAATTTATAGATTTATAATATGCAAATATAACCTGTGTTAAAAAAAATCTAGTTAATATTATTTATATTTTTGCGTATTCTTTTCGTTTTTTTTTTTTTTAAGAATATTTTCATTTTGATTTTTGACAATTTCAAAACGTTTTATAACATATATAATCTTTTTTTTAAATATTTACTGTAATATTTAAAAGCTTTTTATGTATAAAGTTAAAAAATTAAAAGCATTATACTTAAAAGGCGGTCTTTAGCTTCTCAAGTATCTTTTAATACTATACATACACAGGGCAAATAGCGAAAGAATATTTATTAAATAAAACAAAATTGTCAAATTCAACATAGCAAATGTATATAACCATCAAAAGAAAATGATGCTTTGTTCTTTTTGAATAAACAAAATAATTTTTCCAGCTATTTATGAATCTTTTGCAAATTTTCGCAAATCTGAGGAATTTAAAAATTAGTCTAAAGTATCCATGTTAGATTTAAGAATTATATATATAAAAAAAAAAACAATATCGGGTGGCCCACCAGTTTATTATATAAAAACTGCATTCTAATTAATAAATTTATCCGTAACACCCTTCCAGACGTATCCGTAACACTTTTAGAGATAAAAAAAAAGCTGCCATAGAAAAATCAGGTTTGATAAAGTGCCATGGAAACTTTTACAGAACCATCTCTCAATTAACTTGTGTTAATATGTGTTATTAATAGCGAATGTAAAATGATCCAAATCTGGTATTTGTTTTTCATGATACAAGAAATGATTTCTCAACTTTTAATTTAGAAATTTTCGATCGGTATGAAACGAAAAAATTTATTGGTTTTGATTTTATAACATAATTTTCGCAAAGATTCCCTCTATAAAAGTTATGTATTAACCCCGCTTTGAGTCATTTAACTTAAAGCCATAAATTTTCGATGCCAAAATCGACTATTCAAGCGAGATATTACTGTATGCACAAGTTTTGTAAACAGAGAGAGTGGAAACAAACAAAAAACACATTTTCAAAACTTTTTGGAAACCTAATTAAAAATTATTGAACTTTATTCAAAACTTTCCGCAACAAAAATTGGAATATGTTCCCAAACAAACTAAAAAAGTGTTTAAAATTAAATAAAAAGAAAAACGGAATTAAACCAAAAATTATATTTACTTTTAATTTAACAGAGCGAACTTGTTATGTGTACTTTCTGTATAAGAACAGGTTAGGAATAGTAGGTCTATTTCGACTAAAAATCAGGACGCATTTTCTACGTTTGGATTCTTAGTAATTATTCATCATAATAAATATTTTTTATAAAGTAAAACTCTTTTTTTTTTTTATATAAATAATAAAAAAAAAAATAAAGTAAAACTCAGAATATAATACTTAATATTTTTTGTTGTTAGACTCAAAATATGTGTACATACATTTAAAAGTTCTCTTGATTGCTTTGACATTAAAAATGTCGTTTAAATATATTTAGGTATACATATTTACTTAACCATTTTTACACATTTACAAAATTTTCACCTTTCTGAGTTTCGGATTTTTTTTTTGTATACATACTATGTATGCATGTATGTATGCGAACGGTTAAGAATTCTTGCGTGGATAACATCTTAAAATAATGAATATATTTTTATAAGTAATTCATCACATAATTTGAAAATTATATTCATGTAAAAATAAAATTTTGAATTGGTATAGTTTAAGAACCCTTTCACCTAAAAGTACAGTAATTAGTTTAAAAAAAATGCGTGCTTATCTGCTCATTTATATACATATTAAATTTTTGCTTGATAATTTTAGAAAATGACAGATGCATAAATAATATTAACACAAAAAATAATTCAAAATTTTTAAAAAGAACTTTGTATATAAAATAAAAAATATATACATATATAATATATTTCTGAGCGCCATCTTTATTTAACTAAGTGAAACTAAAAGACTGCAACTGTCACTTATGATGTATGCATGTATTGCTTGTACATATGTATGTACATATATACAGAAATCTATACACACATTTTTATTGAATCTAGAATATCCGAAATTTTTTGTTATTGCTTTGGCAATACATATTTGCGCAATTTATGAAATATTTTATTTAAATTTATATTTAAAATTAGTAATTTCTTACATCTGCGGGCCTTTTTGTTCCTTTTACTGGTTCAGACTTTTTTTCTTTTGTAGGTGTATCCTTAGTTTTTTCTGTTTTTTCGGCGGCGGCATCTGTGGCGTCTGGAGCTTTTTCTACAGCAACTTCGTTTTTCTCTGCTGAACTCATTTTTATGTACTATATATTATATATATTACACAATTTTTTTCTTTTTGGTTTTAATTAATTTAGAAATTAATTTTTTTTCTGTTGCCTTAAATTTTTTTAAGGCAGCTCAAACTTTTTTTATCTTATAGATATAGGTATGTATATTATAGATATAATTTATGTATGTATATGCGAATTATTCATATATCCTTTTCCCGGCAAATTTCTTTTTCGTCACAATATTGCTATATGTATGTATGTAATATACTTTTTCTTTGCTATTTACTTTGGATTTTTCTTTTGAATTCTTCAATATTAAATATGCGTCAATAATATTTTTTCCTTATATATTGATAAATACTTTTTTCTATTTAAATAAATAATTTTTTATATTTTTCTTAAAATACTTTTTATTTTCTTTTTTGATTTACATTAACAAATAACCTTCACAATTTGCCTACTAATTTTTGTTGTTCGAAATGAACACTTTGGAATCTAAAACACGACTAAAAGCGTCTTCAAAATATTAACTGAAAATAATGGTAACGCGACGTTAAACATTTTTTGAGAACAAATTGTATTGGATGAATAAATCGTAAATATTGTATTATATTTTAACATAAATTAAAAATATATTAAAAATTTATACATGAAAATAATTTTAAAACTATAATAATTTAAAAAATATCAAAAATAATTAATTTTTGAAGTTAAAAATTGATTTTTAATGTGCTTCTTGAGTACTTCATTGGAAAAATGGATTTGTAAATTTCTTGAGTACAAACAAAAAATAATATGGCGCATAAAAGCGGGAAATTCAAAATTTATTTATTCTTTAATTTTTTGAAGATTATATTAAAAAGTGGCATATTTTAAAAAGATTTTATTTAGAAATATGTTCCATAAATTTTAAAATAGAAGAAAAAATAAAATAAACTTATTTTATTGTTAATTTTAATGAAGAATTAAATATTTTTTTTAAAATAAAAATATTTAATAATAATTTACTAGTGTTTGACCAAAATATCAAAAGATAAAATTCTGCAATACAATTCCACTACCAAATTTATTCGGAAAATCAAAACAGTCTCTGCTGCATCTACAAAGGAGAGCTCGGTGTAAATTTTAAGCAATTTCGTTAAAAAAAATACGTTGGATCTTTGAAGATTGGCTAGACTAAATATTTTAATACAATATATACATATATTTATGTATATTTTTTAGGTTCTAAAATTGAGAGTTAATTTGTCTGGAGAGGATTTCCCATGTAAAATGTTTGTGGTGCATAAGCATTTCGTAAACCGAACGAAACACTGCAACAGTCAATTAAGCACAACGCAGTGTACATATGTAATGCACATGCATATGTTACTCAAACTAAGCAGATATGAATATGTTAATTATTTACACAATTTACTTATATTCATTAAATCAATTGTAGAAAAACTATGTTTATATTTTTTATAATTTCAGGATGTTGGAAACCAATGTTGAAATTTACAAGCCTAAAAGTTTCTTAAATATAAACCAAAAGTTATTTTAATATTTGAAAATCTAAAATTTACTAGAATATTCCAATTTTAGTTTCGGTATAAATGTTTTTAATATTTTTAATTTTGAAATGGTATTCATATACTTACAAGTGTACATAATTTTAAATGATATCTCGTATCATTCCTGCCATAGAAAAAAGCAAAATGATTATGAAGTGGTACAATAAAGGACTAAAAAATGCGGTTAAAATTTTATGATTAATCATTGATATGTTGTAATGTAATTCACATGAAACCAACTAAAAGTATATTTTTATAAATGCGTAGTTTAAAATATAAACATTATATGTTTATCAAAACCTGTATATACTGTAATTAATTTTAATTGTGTTAAGTAAAGCAAATTAGATAGTAAGAAATAAGATTATATAAACTACGTAATCCGCAGTAATATCTTCTGATACTAAAAAGTTAGTATATTAGATACATATGTAAATGTTTGCGTATACTCATTTAAGCTTTTAAAAACTTTTTACATATACATAATATAAATAAATATTTCATTAAATACTCTTTTCATATTGAAATATTGTATAAGAAAAAATTTAACTCAATGATTCAAATAAACTTTTTACGTCAAGTTTAGTGCCTTATTCAAGCAGAAGGTGGGATTTTTAACTTCACAAATAATCCAACCATGACTTAAATACCAACGGGGAAATAACGAATTCAGCTTGAGGTAGATGCATCTACAATAAAATAAGTAATAAAAAAAATTAAGGAAAAAAATAAATTAATTGACATAGCTCTTCAAATTCACTAAAATTGATATTAGACAATTATTTTCCATAACTGTAGTAATATTTCTCAGGGTTTTCAACTTAACTTCATAAATGCATTGTCATCATAATACAGAATTTTTGTTATACATTGTGCTACGTTTAGTCATAACAAATACAAAAACGACCTAAGAAATCGAAAGAAAACAATATAACAAAATTATTTTCCAATACTGAGTGTACTTTTAGTAATATATAGAACATTGAAAATTTAATAGTGGTGTGAAATACATTTATACTCTTTTATTATTAGTCCAAAAATATAGAAGCACAAGAGACATGTTCTATGATAATTAACATATTCATCTTTTACTTTTCTACTTCTGATTAATCGCAAATATCACACAAAAATATTGTTATATTCATATATACATCGGTATATGTATTTATGAATGTATATATTATAATATATATATATAATTATAATATGTGTATTATAACTATAGTATGCATTTACTCTAGTCTTTCTCTATACAAAGTTTTACGTCAACAACAAATCTATAGGCTATATGTATAGTAAATTGACAAAAAAGTTATTTTAAACATTTTTAGAGCATTTTATACTGCTTCGGTTTATTTTTTATTCTATCAAGTTAGTCACATTGTTGATTTCGAAAGAGGATGATACTTATATTTTAAGATATTTTTTAGTTAGTCAATATTGTTAGTATTATTTTTCGATTAACGTTGGATTGAATAATTTTTATAGATTTACGTACAGTGACGAGCAAAGCACTAAAATAATTCAAATATTTTTTTTCATTATTCTAACTCAAATATTTAAACACCTTATTGTTTTAAATATATTTTTTTTTCGTAATCACATATTCATTAAAAGTAACAAAATAAAATAAGTTTTCATACCAATATACAATAACAAAGTTTTTTGAAAATTTTTCGATTGTTTAAAGTCTAGTAACTGTTTGTAGCATTTTTTCCAAATTGAATTGACCCGGATCTGAATCATATGGGGAATCTTCGTTTTATAGCGAAAAAGCGTCTGGAGCATTCACAGCGTAATTAACTACAAATATCTATTGCATAAACATAAAAATTTTGTTCAAAATTTACAACGTGCAAAACTGTTCAAATGACATGTAAATTCGAAACTACATGTCATAATAATGCTATATGAAAATTTGAAAATTTTGATTATCTTATGTTAATTTTTATTTTCTGGTTTAATAGACTGATACTAAAATGAAATTTTTGTAATGTAATGAAACTTATTATAATTAAAAAAAAATTGACAAAACTTTAAGTTATTACAACATATTTGCTCGCCACTGTATGTTCACATTCACGTTCCAGGGTGACCAATGCATATGTATTATACATATATTTGAAAATATACTGGCAGTTGGGAAAATAAGTATTTTCAGCTAAGAATCAAATAACACCTCAACTACGTTAAATAACTAATGTAAAACTGTTATATTTACATAATATGATACTAAAAATTTTTTAACTAATAAATTATAATTGTTTTAAATGTTTTCACAGCAACATAAAAAAAATAAATTACTTACATTTCCACGCAATGCCATAGTGAAAAATTGGTTAACTTGAGCTTGATGCAACGTTAACTCTAAAATTTTAATATTGAGCAATTGTTTACATTATGTAATAATTTTTAAAAATATTGTGAAATTTACGTGAAAATCTTCCAAATAGTATCACAGCTGTAGAATTCATTATGTTGGCCAAGTTACACATTCTCATAACATGTACATAGAGTTTCTTTTTATCTCGCATGTTTCTAACTTTTTTTTTTGGACTTGGATTTTGGATGACTAATGTTAAAAAAAAAGTCGCGAAGCAGGTAGGGATTTCGGAAGACTTTTCAACGATGGCGCTATACCATATTTGACGAATTGTACAGGATGTAATAGTTTCAGTATGATACTGTTAGGGCATTAGTCGATCAAGTTATGTCCATCGGTTTGGGGTTGAAGCATTTATTTGAGTACAAATTTGAAAGTTGAAATTTGGCAAAGAGGCATAGTTTTTCAATTTTCGTTACTGATTTAGAAGAACATTGGACTGTAAAGTATAATGTCATACAAACATGGAAACAGAGAATGTCAAAAAAAACTGAGAGCTTTAAACAGTTATTTAGGTTATTTTAACGCCGGCGGTTAAATTCGTAGCGGCAATTTTGCTTGACTCTGCACAGCCCTATTTAAATGTATGAATTCTAACATTGCACCGGGAAAAATCACTCTTGTTCCATTTTTAACTTAAAAAAAGTTAAAAAAGTTTGTCGGTTATGCTTGATTAACGAAAATATCAAAATTTCTGTCAGCGGTGCGGTTATAGGTGCCTTTTACATGCAACAGTTTTGATTTTTCAAGTTTTTTTGCTTTTACACACTGGTGAAATCGATAAAATTATTTTTTGTACCTGTATTAGAAATATAGTTTTCGTACGTTTGTTACATTTTTTTATTAAATAGACGAGCAATCTAGTACTCAAGAATAAATTTACAACGTTTGCAAAAAAAAATACATATAAATATTCATGTGATATGTAATTATATAGTAAGTTCGTCCATAGACCGTAACAAACTTTGGCTCAATTAACTTAGTAATAAGCTTTTTCTCGTGAGAGTGTTTTTTTTTATCAAAAATTATTCTTTTTTGTCTCTCAATTTGCAAAAAACTGCTGGTTTATTTCTTAAACAATTTTTTTAAAACTTGCTTTAAGACTTTTTATTTATTAAAATTTAATTGTTATCTTTAATTTTTGTCTTTTAAAGGAACTTCATATGTTTGAATTGGTGTGATTCTGTGAAGCTTCTTTCCTGCCCAAAATGATAAAGATTCTGTGAAGATTCTTTGCGAAAAGCTAATGTATTTTGTGCGAAATTGATTTTCTCTTTATTTTTAGTGCAACATTTTTCTCTCTGTCATAACGTTGAATAAAACGGCATGTCGTCATCTTATACCTTGTTTTATCGTCATTCGTCATCTCATACCTCGTTTATATCGCAGCTTGATTATTTGGCTCGGCATCATTTCGAAGCTGGAGCCGCGTTTTTACTATCTTAGTTTTACAGCCTGATCGTGTATTTTGGTTTTTTACTCACTTTTTATTCACCTTCAAATCGGAATTATAAGTATTTTCTAAAGGATGTTTTACTTTTCGAATAAGAATACTCATTTTTTTAATTGGATTTTTGCATTTTTTCTCAAATTATCGACGAAATGTTTCACTTTCAAAAACTTTTGTATAAAAAAACGACATACGCAATCGGAATAATTCTTCTCACTCGAAAATTACATTATACAAGTATATTATAGTTATACTCACTTTCTTCTCACTTTCCGTAATACAGACGCTCAGGGCTTTAAAATGATGATTAGTTATTACATTTCATGAAATAGGCTTTAAGTACGCTTGAAAGCATTTAAACGGGTATCCTAATAAAGTACATGTAAACGGTTAATGCACATAGAAGACCATTCGTTAGACGTATTATTATTACGTACCATACATTACATTCAGATTTTTGCATAGTTAGGTTGTCTAGATGCATATTAAATTATAATTTAAATGAATAGGGAAAAAAACTCTTATTCTGTAGAAAAATAAAATCTTTTACTGAATTTATCTTTACACTTTCTGTTATATTAAAATTTTATTTTATTAATTAAAAAATATTCTACTTTATTTTCAAATTAAAAACTTTAATTAAAATAAAAATTCGTGCAGTATTAAATACATAATTTCCTTCATAAATCTTTTTTTCATAATAAAAATACAATGATATTACAAGCTAAATTTATATGAAAACTAACAAACTTGTAATAATGAAATAGTAAACATCGTTCTATTGTTAAAATGGCAAGTGGCGAAAGACTTAAAACAAGACTTTCTAAATAAAATTGTAACAATAATAATTTCCTTACACTGAATGTTATAAGGAAGGTATATTAACATACACATATGTAATATATCAGGTAACATTTTTGAATTATTACCGTTTGAATGAGTGTTTTAATTTCCAACATATATCTGACGAATGGCTTAGGCCAGAAATCAATTATCATGTAAATTATTATTGCACAAAACAATTATCACTTAGATGCACAAAAAGCGGCTACCAAATCGAAAAGCAACATCATAATTCGTAACAAATCCCTTTCTGTCAAGAAATAGATTCCTGTTCATTTTTAACCACAGAATGTTCCAACCTAAAAATTCGCTTTCTTTTTGATGATCACAGCATACTTATATTGCGTTCTCGATCCAAGCGGTCTGACAACACTGAATCTGATCAGAATTAAATTAATAATTACTGCATTTTTATTGTGTTCAGCAAAGTTTAGTATTTTGAAGTTTATTTTTTGTATAGTTATTTAAGTTATGCAGCTTTTACAAATCTAGCAAAATCAATCTAATTTGAAACGATAAATTTTGAAACATATTTGATTTTCAAGCACCCAATCCAATCAAACTAAATCGTATGAGAAAAACATAATCTTGCTCTATTTTCCATTCAATTTTTTGACAGAAACAATTAAAAATGGTGAGCAGTAAAAACTTCGATGTTTTGTATGTGTGATTTTTATTTTTTTTAATTACAATAATAAAAAAATAATTAAAGTGACAGAAAATTTGCCAAATCAAATTTGAATTGTAAACACTAATTCCCATAATAGGTATAAAAAATGAAAAACGAATATTCATACAAAATAGCTTTCCTTGTAGATATATAAAATTCCAATAATAACTTCAAAATTCAGCCATCATAAATTGTAAAATAGTTCTTATTTTTTAAACTCATCATAAAAATATAAATTTTTTTAACGGGAAGAGTATGTTCTTCCTATGTCCACTCTTCATAAAAGAATGCGTTAATATTAACCGGATAAAAATTTATCCTTTGTTCTTATTAAGATATTTTTGTTTCCACAATACAAATACAAAAAGTAATAAAAAGATGAAGAAGTATTTAAAAGTAAAAAGATATAATTGAAAAATAAGTAGTATGGAAAGAGCATGATACAGAAATGGGGGATGCTTTTAAAATTGTAAAAAGTCTGGTGAGCTGAACACACTTAATGACAGTCTAAGATTTGACATTAATTGTCAGTTGCAAAGGTTTCCGGTTAAAAAAACATCCGGTCTTTTTTACCTTGATTGACGTTAAAGAAGAGTAAAATGGTAAGATTTGCTTGTTATATACTTATTTTTTGAAGAAATCATTTCATTAAGGTTTCATAAGTATATATTTTCGATGCAATTTTCTCGGTGTTTAAGTACAACTGCAAATATTTTTAAAATTCATACACTAAAATAATAAAAATTTGATTTTTTTTATTTAAGGTGAACGTTCCCAAACAACGCCGTACTTTTTGCAAAAAATGTAAAGTACACAAATTGCACAAAGTAACGCAATACAAAAAATCAAAAGAGAGGAAAGCAGCGCAAGGTAGACGGCGTTACGATAGAAAACAACAAGGTTTTGGTGGTCAAACTAAACCTATTTTTAGGAAAAAGGTAAGAATACCTATATATGTATTGTACATACATATGTTTATATTTTCAATAGCAAAGTTGATACTTTTGACTTTAATGTTAGATGTACATAAGCAAGAGAATATTGATATGATTTCCAAAGTAGCATAACTTTTACAAGATCTTAAAAACATAACACGAATGTATATTTTAATTTTTTCATTTTTTAGGCTAAAACCACAAAGAAAATTGTTTTACGTATGGAATGTACCGAATGCAAGTATCGTAAACAGACCGCATTAAAACGTTGTAAACATTTTGAGTTAGGTGGAGATAAGAAAAGAAAAGGACAAATGATTCAATTCTAGATGCATAGGATTGTAATTATTTGTTATAAACAAAAATTTTAATAAAAACATCTAATTTAAAATTTAAAATTAATTTTAATTGATTTATTAAGGTTACTGAGGCAACAGTCTTCGAAGAAAAGTATATTTACATTGTTGGAGCCAAGTAAACCCAAGTGATTTCTCATGTACATCAACTATCGCCCTGTTGTTTGTAAGGAATCCCATCTGATAGAATCAAGTTTGGTGTGCTGCAAAAGTGCAAATTAGTTGTAATCAATATGTATACTATATGAATGTACTTACTCTAAAATATCAGGGTCAAACCCATCTATTTCCATTTTTGATTTAACGGCCGGAATGGGAACTCCAAATTGAAGCATTTTAAAATATTTTCTATATCTAACATCTTCATTTGCTTTGATATCAACCTGAGTATTAACAGATTCTTCAGGATTCGAAGTGCCTTGTAATTCTTTTTCGTCACTAGTTTTGTTTGAATCTTCTTCAACAAGTGGTTGACTACAATTATCTATTTCAGGAACTATTTTTTGATTTGTTTCTATATCGGGTATTGAAGCCAGCTATAAAATATACAATTTTTACTTAGCTATACTTTTATTTAAAATGATTTTAAGCACCTTTTCTTCCAAAATAATAAGAGTAGCCTCGAGTTTTTGCATTTTTCTTTCAGTTTCAATGAATCGTATTTCACATTCCTCTACAAAGTCATTAAGAAAACTACAAGTTTTCAAAAGAAAGTGATTTACAAAAGCAATAATTCTTTTTTGAAATATTGGAGGAACCTGAATTGTTTCATTAAAGAGAATTTGTTAAAAGTTTTTCAAATTAGTATACATATGTATATAGCTAACCAAACATTAAAATATTCTATATTACCTTCGATTTGTCTGCTTCTTCAAACAGAGAAGTGCCGTCTAAATCTATATCTAAATCCATTTCAACTTTTTTAAAAATTTTAATAATAATGTAGTTATTATATGGTTTATTAAACTCAATAAAGTAAATTTAATTAAATTTTACAAATTAATTTTGTATACCATATGGGCATAAAATATTTGTTGACTTTCCAATATGTATTTCTTTAATTGATATCATATATGTATGGACATAACACAATATGTGTACATATTGTGTTTTTGTTTAAGTCAAATTTTTTGACTTTAGGTGCTAGCGTAAAAATGTTAACATATGATTCAATTAATCATATGTTAAGTTTGACAGTGGTGTAGTTAGAAAAATGACTTTCGTATGGCATATCAGAACTTCTTAAGATTTTCTAATATTTATAAATATCATATAAAAATTAAATACTTTCCTTTATTGAAAAAAAAATAACATAGATTTACTTATTTTAGTATAACTTTGTGAGATTAAGTTGAGCTAAAGAGAACATTAATATTTTTATTATTTTAATTGTTTGTAAGAAAAAATAAGTAGGTGATAAACGTCAAATTTCAAAATATCAAGCATAAACAAATATTCTTTGGTTATACAAAAAATCGAAAATCTTGATTTTGGCTTGTAAAAGTATGGAACTTATAAAAAATCATTTGTGAATCCATTTTAATTTATTTTTAATTAAAAAGTTTAAAAACAAAATTATTGTTGATGAAAAAATTTTTTTTGAGAAAACCTTCTGACCAAAGAAAACATATGTATGTTTTGACAGCTTTAAGGTTTTAAAAGTTTTTAAAACACTAAATTGAGAAAATGGAAACGTCATAATTTTCTTTCATTTTTCTTCAAAAGACAAAAAGTATTATACCAGGTGCTTTGTATACAAAAACTTTGCAAAGTTTTTTCAAGACCTAATAAGTCTTTTACCAGACAAACGTACTACATAATAAATATATTACAAGACACAAGTATATTATTATTATAAATGTTATTGCTATACTTACCTCGTTTTAATGGCTGCTTGAGCACTTGACTTGAAATCATATCGAAACTTGAGCTGTTTACTATGTCAGTTTAAAAGTGTCGCAAAATGGCGTTTAGCTATTATATTACAAGTCATTAAGTACATATGTACATTTCCAAGTAAAATAAGTAAAGTTTGATAAACTCGAGTGAAACCGGCTTCAAATCAATAACGTTTATATGGACATGAGATAGGTTTCAAGTACGATTGAAGCTGCTATATAAACGGTAAAATTGATCTTGTTTCAGTAAGTTATATCTTTCAATTTTATTGTATTTATACCTTTGATTTTACGTCTTTAACGACCATATAATTAGCTGGTTAGTTCGAATTTAATTCTTCAAAAATGTCTTAATTTTTTAGTACTCCGGGTGTGCTTGAAAAAGAAGTGTTTTGGAATGTATAAGTTTCGAGTTAAGGACTGCAATTTTCATTAGTTTAACTTAATGGTTATTCAAATTCAAAAACTGCAGAAGCTTTTCAACTTGGTATAAGAGATTCAATAGTTCTCGTATCTGAAAATTATGAACATTTTGCATTCGCATATTTTATTAATAAATTAAAACAAATAATTTTTCATAGATTTTTTAATAATATGTAATATATAATATATATACGCTTCAATAAAAAATTTTCTTTGTACCATCGGTTTAAAATAAAAATAAAATTATGTTAACAATTAAAATTATTTAGGTGTAGAAATCACAAAAACTTGTAAATAAATTAACGACAATTCATTATTATTTAGTTTCCTTCTCATTTTTTTTTCATTTTTAAGCAATAAATACTGGACAAAAAATAGGTGACATTAAATATATTTTTATATGATATATATTTATGTATATATTTTCTACTTATTAATAATATTTTTGTATTTTATTTTCTTAATTTAAAAATATTTTTTTTTCTTATTTTATCAATAACATCATATACATATATGGGTACAATTTGTGTACATGTACATATATAAAATATTAAATTTTTTCTTTTGAATTAATAACTATTAATTATTAATTACATATAATTACTTTATATGTATGTATATTTAATTTAAAACGGGAGGCTGGAAACAAACATGTTCTCAATAAGTGTAGGTGGAGGAATTAAGTCTTCTAGCTTAAGATAAAATATCCGCTGTAATCCTTGTAAACTTAAAGATCTAAGTTCGGGAAGTTTTCCTAATAATCTACTAAAATACTGTGGTTTTTTCTGTGCATCTGTATTATATGTAATATGATCCCTTAAACTGTTAATAATACGCATCTGTAATTGTTCAACTTTCTTTGGTTCTCGTAAACCATGTCGCTCTAAAATAAAGAATTAAAAGAAATTTTTAATTAAAAAAATTCTTTTTTTTTTTTTAAATCTTCAGTATTTGTGTATGTATGTATATATGTACTTCAATTACCTGTAACTAAAGTGAGAGCACAAAGACAAGCAAACGATGATATGTCCATGTCTAATTCATGTATACTTTTACTAAATTCAAGTATGCCATTTAACCAATCACCAAATGATTGTTGACATTGATTTTTTGATAGCACCATTCCGTTACAAAATGTTAAATTATTATCATCTGGTTTTATTCTATATGATAATCTTAAAACAAATAATTCAAGTGATGCAGATTGAAATAATAAATCTTGATCATGTTGACATAAGTTTGAATAACCTGGTATTTTATCCTTAAATATTTTTATAATGTCAACTGATTTAGCAACTAAATCATAAAATTGTTTAACATATTCAGCTTCATTAATTTCATCATCTGACATAAATTCATCTGGTTGATATTTACTATAATCCATTTGCGAAAAATTTGGATTACTGTCAATATATGCTTTAGCCAATGCTGATAACATTGATATCGGTGATCTTGATGGAATTTCCATATTTTGTTTTGATGGCAATCGGCCCCTTCTACCTTTTAAAGAATCTGTGCGTACAACTTCTCTTACCATTCCAACAGATAAACATTTTTGAAAGCGACAAAATTGACACCTATTGCGCCTCCTTTTATCGACTGGGCAGTTTCTGTTTGCTAAACAAACATATTTTGAACTTTTTTGAACAGTTCGTTTAAAAAATCCTTTGCAACCTTCACACGTACGTACACCGTAATGTTGACATGCTGCCTTATCACCACATACTGCACAATGTAATGAATATTTAGTACTGCTTAAATTGCTCTCTTGCAAATTTGTATATTGTGATGAATTTATTTCAGTATCAGGAACTGGTGAAATAATTTCTGTTTTATTAACACATTTTGATGGTGCTGAAGTTAATTCAATTATATCTTTGCAATTATCATTAATAATTGGCCCATTTAAAATTTTATTATCGAAGCTTGGACAAGAAGCGGTAATAGTTTCATTTTCAGATGTAACAGAAAAGTTTGATAAAGAGAAGCGATCAAATGTTGTATCACTAGGCTAAAAATAAGAGAATAAGGTTGATTTGTATATTAATAATTTATATAGGCTTAATATGAAAAATTAATAATATTTACCATGAGCTGTTGAGTTTGATATGATGAATAAAATTCTTCAATTTCTTCATTAAAATCATTAGTTGTATGTAATTGATCTGAGCAATTTGTAATTGCTGTTACAGATTGATGATGATTTTGCATTATATTCTGATTATTAGCATTGTTATTATTATTGTTACTGATATTATTATTATTATTGCTATTTATGCTATTGTTGTCATTATTACACATAAAATTATTATTTATTGGAGTAGGTAATGATTTTTCACCAATATTTTTCAAAGAATATGTTTCATTAAAGCTAGGTAATAAAGAGTTTGTTATAAAACTCGTTGGAGAATATGATGTTGCTTTTTGTATTTCCCTGTGAGGATTTTTTTGTTCATGTTTTAATATTTCTGGATCACTATATGATCTAATTGGCATAAAGTTAGTTGTACCAAATGTATTATCAAAATTTTCATTACGAAAATTTGTATGCCAATAATTTCTTTTTTGATCAGAAAATAAATCGAATACATTTGTTGTCGTTGCAGTTGTTGTTGTTGTATCTCTCTCGAATCCTTTATTAAATATTCCATTTAAATGGAAACAATTATTTAACGAAATTGGATCCTCCATTAAATTGCTTGATATAAAATTATCAGACGAAACTGCGTCAAAATCAGAATCGGCAGTCATATGTTTGTTTTTTATTTTTTATTTTTGGTTTTTCGTATTTATTTTTTTTATAATATTTCTATTTTTTTTTTATTTAAATCCTAATATACATATATATTTATATATATATATGTATATATATAATTGTATGCGTTTATTCTACGTATTTATTTTTCCTTTACTATAAGTCTTTCTTTTATATTTTTTTTTCTTCTTTCTTTGAAGATTTTTTTTTTCTTAATTTACCATATTCTAAAAAGCTTTTCAAATCACCTGAAAAATAAATAGAAATTAAAATTTAATAAACTATTTTTAATAAATTACTAAATTAAATTAATTTAATTCGTTAATTTTAATTTATCTATAAGTATTATATAAATCTAATAGTAATTTAAAGTGCCAGTGTTATAATTATTGAGTATTCATTATAAAAGGGGACTCTCTTAAATTGAAGATCAGTAATAATTTTACAATTTTTTAAATTTTACATTGAAATTTTCAGTTCCTATGGAAAGATTTTAAATTTGAGCGATTACATATAGGTAATATTGATTTATTATAAGAAATAAATTGCTAAGATTTTAACGTTTGTAGCATTCTAATTTGTTATCATAGCCATTTGAATCTCAATATTCATATATGTATGTATTAATTATTAATAATTAACTCTGTTTTTTTTTAAATTTATTAATATTAAAATTACTTATAATAGAATATTAATAATTATTAATTTATAAAAATTAAAAATCTTTTAATATTTTGTGCGTTATATTTGTTGCTAAAATAAAACAGTATTAATTGTCTAACCTGAAAGTATGCAATTAATTACAAGAATATACGTAATAGTATAGAATGCCAAGTACTGAATTTGTTTTTGTTTTACTGACTTTTATATTAATACTCCGTTTCCATTAAAAAAACGTCATAACATAATTAAATTAATTATATATTTAAATTAATAAATTTATTGATCTAATATTTTATTATTAAGTAAACGATTTAAAACTCGGATTATAAAGTATAATAATAGTTAATTTCTTTCAGATTCTAAAAAAATTCTTCAATGTTTCTTTCAGATTGCTTTTTTTCTGATTTATTCACATTTTTACGCGTGGTTCATTTGATCAACGTTACATCGACAAATCGATTTAATTTCGTTTGTTTTAATCGATTCATTAAGGCGAGAGATTCACGTTCGAACAACGCTTTAATCAAGGATTTAGTGATTTAAATAAAGTTTTCCTGATAGTTACTCGGTTATATAACAATTAGAATATGTAAATAAAGATAAACAAAAAATAATTATAAAATAATCAAATTTAAACTAATTGCTCTCTTAATAAATTCGAATTATATTGAAATTATTTCTTTAATTATAACTTAAAATTAATAACCATAATTAAAATATTTGACATAATTTTTATAGCAGATTTTGCCTCCTTTTATAAAATATCATAAATATTTATACATATATATATACACTTATATATGTATTCAAATTATATGCATATTCTTTTATGAAGAGTGTACATGTACCTAAATGTAATGATGCTTATGACTTAAAATAAATAAAACAAAAAATACATATTGACCCGGTATAAGAAAAGACTATTTTTGTTTTTAAAAATTATTTTCAAATTTTATTTTTATACATAAATTAAGAATTAATTTCATATGGTTGTGTTTTTGGTGTTTAACGTAATTTTGAATACGTAAATTTTGTATATTGAAATTTTTTGATAATGCTTTTTTTTTGGTTTCTTTTAATTTTATTTTTATATAAATAACAATATAATTCTTTTTTTATTCTGAAAGATTTTTCTCACGTGAAATTATATTTGAAATAAATTTTATAAATCATAATATATTGTGAGCATCATAATAACAAACATCCGTACTTATACATATTATTTATAAATTAATATTCTGTCTATATACAAAAAATTTTATATTTTCTTGAATGTTCGTAATTAATTTGATGTTTTATATATACATATATGTATTTCAATGAATAGTATATAAATATATTTATATATATATATTATAAGCGCATACGAATAATAGAATGCGTGCGTAATTTTTGTTTTCTGATTTCTTTTTATAATTTGAAAAAAAAAAGCAAATGGAATAAAAAAGTATAATAAGAGTTTGGTATGATTGCGTATTCGTATCATGTGTGATTATATTAGATATGTACGTATTTTGTATAGATTGTGTATAAGCATAATTATATACATATTTGTATTATTTATATATTTAATACATAATATTATTGATAATTTAATACATAAACTGTTCATTTAACCATTTTAAAACATCCCGCTATGGTTTCTAAAAAAAAAATTTTTGAAAATGTATAAACCTTGGAAAGTTACAGGAAATTTTTCGATTCCTTTTAAGTTCTATTTCACTAAAATTGGAAGTTGGTAAATGTAGTTATAAACATACGTATTGTTGAAAAGGTCTCAGCGAAATCTCTAACTCTTTTTATGAGATTTTTTGAAATTGATACCTGTAAGGTCCTAGGACCTGAAATAAATTAGTTCAGAAAAGAAACATGTTGAATAGGAGTTCTATGCATTATGTATATGTAAATTTTGTATAATATAGATTTGATATAGATTTTATTAGTTTTAAGAAAAAATTTATTAAAAGATCACTTCATTTTGTTCTCAAATCGCAGGAACGCGCGACTATTTAGCTGGTTTTATTATAAATTTATAACTGTATATAATTAAAATTTAACAAAATTTCAGAAAATATTTACGTTTACAATTAAAAATACTATTGTGAAAAAGAAAACAATTTTTTAATTTTTAAAAATAACAAATAACTCAAGAAATAGAATATTAATAATAAATATATGTATAAATAAAATAGGAAAACAAAACATCAAACGTATTTTAAAACATATAAATCTTACATATGTTTGTACATAAGTACCATATGTAAATTAAATTTGGTAATAATCATGTTTATGCAATTAATTTATAATAAATGTTTACAAATAATTATCTACGTATGTATATCGTAACATTGCCGTCTTTTTCATATACATATGTAGACATGTACTATATAATATATGTATTATAATATTGTTTTTTCTTGGTTGCTCTTAAGTTCCAATAAATTTCGATGGTGAAAGACTTTATTCTATATTTAAAATTTAATTTTGATTTTCTTGTTTATTTGTTTTTTCTTCTAGTTTTTTAAAGAATTCTGTACTACAGAGATTTGGTATTTTCAATGACGTATATTTATCTACAGTAAAAATATTATTTATAAAATAAGAAAAGGAAAAAAAGAAAAATGAGAAAAAGCTTCAAATGAATTTTTTATATATGAAAAATATTATTTTTCGTAATTTGGTTTTTTTTCTTTTCAAAATGACGTATGGATTTGACGAATACAAAATTATATTATTTTCATAATATACATAATACATATGTACATATATAAGTGTGTATATACAGAAAAATATTTAAGATAACTAATAATAAAATAATGAAGGTAAAGATTTTCAGATATTTTTGGATTGAACCATCTGATAATGATGATTATTTCTGGCAATCTAATTATTCAAATACGTATATAAATAACTTTAAGAAAAAATTTATGTTTGTTTGTTTGTATATGTACATAGTTTTACCTTAACAAATTTTCTTGTTTTTATTTCTATTTAATGAAATATTTTTATGTGATTAATTTCGCTATTTATAAAAGAAAATAATTTTAAATACATATATGTACATATATAAAGATATTTATGCATATACATATATTTATATAATGTATGTGCATAATTCTAATAATTCAAAATATCCGACAATATAATTAAAACTAAGATATTGAATTTTTTTATTCTAATAAATAAATATTAAAAATTTAATATTAAAATTTGCAAAATGCAGATTCTGCATTCCATTTTGGAATAAATAACATTTCAATCAGTTAACGGAGTAAATTTGGTACATACATAGTAGTTTATAATTGGAACGTAGTTACGTACATATATATATATATATATATATAATTAATCATTACAAATTTTGAATATTAAAAATATATATATATGCATTCAAACAAATATTAATTGTATATATAAAAATTATTAAAACGTAGGTATATATACTCGAATAATTGCAATTTAATCTTTAAGCGAAGGCCATCATGTGCTCAATCACTGTATTCCTAATTAGTTTAAATTTTTCTATACCGAATGCCAAACATTATTGGAAGAGCATTTTCGATGGGATAGAAAAATAAAATTCGCCCTTATAGTAAAGTTCAAATACTAAAATATTTCACACTAATTATACATATAAATAAGGAAATATGCGACATATATAAATATGAAACATACAAATATGAAACATAATTTATTAATTTTTTTGATATATATAAATTTTATTAATATTTCTAATTTCATTATAAATCTCTTTCATCTCTTTCATATACGATTTAATTTAATTATTATTTACAGGTTTTTTTTAAATTACATTATAATACACAGACATATATATACATTGTAAATCGTAAATACAAATTTTACATATTATTCCTTTTAATATTATTTTATTCCAATGTTAATACACCTATTTTTGATATGGGTTGAAAATTCGGCTAATTAAATCACATATGAATATATTTTGTATATAATATTACGAGTGAATATATATTAAATTTCATTTATATATATTTATTATATATAAAAAAAATATGACGACAACTTATGACGGAATAGTTGATGTCATCATTTTATTCATATATAGCAATAACTATATTATATATAACGTATATGCGTGTATAAAAATAAAAGTATATAAAGAAAATCGATAATCACGCGTATTATAATTTTTACACATGTTATACATGTAAATTGTAATATATATTTAATTATACGTACATGAGAACATATTTTACTTTAATAAAATTATAATAATGAAAATAGATTTTACAATTTTTCCATGCTTGTACGCATTAAAGTAGAATAAATATAAGAATGAGATCTTAATCAAATTTCAGATAAAGAATTGTGATCAATTAATTATAGTTAGTTTTCCTTACAATTTCATTCTAGAAAACTGTTTAAGCATTTTAAAGTAATCAAAAAAAAAATTAGCTTTATTGCTAAATAAACATAAGGTCTGAAATCTAAAAGAAGCCTCCTTTTAATTTTAAACTTAAAGTTTTTCACTTATAAAACCAAACCACTATATAATAAATATTCCTGCTATATCACTATATATATATACTAAATAACTATATATTTAATATATTATTATTACAAACTAACTATAAACTATCAAATTATTTTATTAAACTTACTTATTATTTTATATCACTATTATTTTTTCCACAAAATATTCTTGTTTATTATAATATTTTCTTTAAGGATATATATACATGTACATATGTATTTGTTTGCCTGTAGGTACAATGTATATTTATGTACATATATTTATTGTACATATATGTAATATTGAAATAAAAATTTTTCTAGCGAAATCCGTTTGTATTTCAGAATTGACGATATTAAAAATTGTTGTCAGAAATTTAAATATATGTACATATATTATGTATATAAATAGTAACTGCATAGAACTGTACTGTAAATAACTGTATACAATATTAATTTAAATTTCCACTGTTTTACAAATTATAGTATGTATGTATAGTAAATTTTGTATTTTCATTATCACACTTGAAAATTTATTTTAAATTTTATATTTTTTTTTTTGCTAGATCATGTATGACAGTTTTCTTTTAAAGAAATATTCCAAAAAAGCAAAGGTACATATGTGTATATGAAAATATTAATTTTTAATTTTTCCATGTTTTTAACTGAAAGAGTATTTTTTAATTAATTTATATATTTATATGATAATATATACATGAGCAGAACGAGTATAACATAATAATTGTTTCCGAGTAAAAACACACCACGCATATTTTTTAATTTCAATAAAAAATTTTTAAGAATTTTAGTATTCAAGTTTTGTTAATAAAACAAAATTTTGAGAAAATTGCCGCTTTCTCCATATATACATTACGTAAAATTCCACTATATATAAATATGTCTAATTCTCAACTATAAGGAAACAAACTGTATGTTTTATTTTTTAATTTCAATTTGAAAATTATTCACACAGAAAATATTAATTTTACTTATGTATATTTTATAATATATATTTTGTAGATAAATGTTCCACTGGTTTCCAATGGAAATTCACTTAATACACTTTATATCCGTAATAAATAATCCGAGAATAAGTTATATATTTAAGTATGAATCCTAAAATTTACTATAAGAAGTAACAACAGGTTCAAGAAGAAAAATGATAGTATAATTGAAAATTTTTATGAACAAATATATATATCACCTTTTATATATGTATGTAAATATGTGTAAAAATTATTTCAAAAAATATTTTTTCTTCAATATTTCCACTTGTATAAAATCCTATTTTTTTTTTTTGTGAATTTTTTTTCACTTTTCTATTTCACTAAAATATTTTATATTTTGCTTAAATATATATTCACAAAAAAAAAAATAATTTTTTTTCCTCTTTGGTTTTTAAGTCTTATTTCCGACACTTGCTGTTTGCAACTAAATATTTTTCATTCGATGCGGCAGTATAAAAACAAAATTTTTCTTCTAATATCCTTTTATTTTTAGTTCATTTTTTTCGTGTATACATAAATAATGACGTCATTAATTTTTTGTATTCTTGTTTAAATATTTATTCTTATATTATTCGATGTCTATACGTCATTGTTTCATATCGAATTTTTAATATACGACGTCATTGTTTCAAAACGTGGGCAAATATTCAAAGTGTTTCATATTTCATATTTTGAGAGAATTTATTAAAAATTTTCATATAATATTGTATAGATATTTTTGATGATGTCATCGTTTCTTTTCTTAAAATATTGAGAGTTTTAATGACATCATTGAACTCTTTTATATTTAGATATTATTGAAATATATATAGATATATGTATATATATATATATATATAGAGATAAGAGAAAATATAAAATAGCCGGTATACATAAATTTTTGTTTATGTTTCTTCTATAAATATGCGTTTCTATATTATTTTGTTCCTGTTGTGTACATATTTCAAATGTATGTATGTATATTAAGAAGTATGACGTCATAGATGCAAAATAATTAATATAACCGCATATAATATATTGTGTTCATCGATCATATCAATGTGATGTCATCAATTTTTAAGATATTTTCAGATATATTATACTTACATACATACATACATTGCATATACCGGCATATTATGTGGTAGCCGTATGTTATTTTAGATTTAACATACAGAATTTTACGTCATCGTTTTCTTTTCTACTTAATTCCAAAAAAAAAAAATGATAAAAGAGAGAGAAAATCAATAATATAAAGTGAATACGAAATATTAAAACAATGACATCATAGTTTTTCGTTTTTTTGTTTAAAAATAATATTTATTTTTAACTTGTATATGGAGAAAATTTGTTAACAATTTATTATTAATTTCTTTATAATGACGTCATCAATCAATTGTGAATAACATATAAACAATAATAACAAAAACTAATATCACACTGATTTATTTTGTTTTTTTTTCTCTCTCTGTAAATTTTTTTAAGAAATTCATAAATTACTTTAAAATTTTTTATTTTTAATTTTAACATAAAAAAATTATGCATGTATAAATTAAAAACTTGATTTGATTTTAAAATTTCCACTAATAAAATAATATATAAATAGATAATTTGTGAAATATATTTAATATTTCTAAAATACACAATATAAAATCAAAAAAATTATAAAAAATTCCAATTATAAATTTTATTAAAAAAAAAAAAGAATTAATGTATTTTATCACATTAAATCAAATGAAAAACATTGGTAATTTTTCATTTGAAACATAAAGGTGCAAAAATATATTGAATATTTTCATATACATATACTTATATATGAATATATTTTTATAATTAGGAAAATATTTTGGCAATAATAAAAGAATTTATATTATATTGCGTATATATGTATGACGTATGTATGTCTATGAAACACGTGTATGTATTTATGTATTCATAAAAATTAAAATATTTTTAATAACACTAGATAACAAACAAATTGTGATTTAATTAATTAAGGAAAAACAGAAAATCATTTTGAAAATTGAATAATGTTTTTGAAACAGAAATAAAAAAAAAATTTGTGTGAAATTTTGTATTTGTTTTCAATAATTTTTAAATTACCAAGCACTTATTAAAATTTAATTAAATTTTCCAATATTTAATATACAAAATTTTTTTATTTTTAATTCTTCATAAAGATTTTTGAATAGAAGAAAACAAAATTTTTATATTTGACGGCGGCCGGTTGTGTACAATTTTCACATGTAACTAAGAAAAAAAACATTTTTTTATTCTTTTCTTCTTTTATTTTCATTTTATATAAAGGTACACTTAAGAAAATTTTTCGGAGGTACGAGCCAATTTTATCCTGTTTAAATATAGAAAAACATAAAAACAACAAAAAAAAAGCACATTCATTATAATGTAGAATCGGCGTCATACATAATACATAATTGTATATATATAGCTACTATATAATTGTGTATATACATATATAGCATAATTTATTTATGTATTTTTACATTTGATTTAAAATTCAATGGCGTCATTATATACTACATTTTATAGCAGATATTCTAATATTATGTATACAGAAAATTCAAATAATGTAATACACAATGTATACAATATAAAATATTTAAGTATACGCATGTATATAATATATAATTTAATAGATATAAGTTTTGATTATAAAAATTGATTCTTTATTATATATATATAAAATTTATTATATATTATGTACATATGTATATATAAGTACCATTATACAGGTATGGCTACCGTATCTGTCTCCGTTCTTTTCCGTTTTAATACTTTAAAACTTTATATAAATTTTGAATTTGATAAATTAAAAATTTTAAATTTATATTAGTAATGAATAATTGAATTTATATGAATAAAATGTTTAAAATATATAAAAGAGTGTTTTTTTTTTAAATTAGCTCCAACTCCATTATTAGCGTATAGATATGCGAAATATTTTAAAAATTTTTAAGAAAGTAATTTGCTTAAACTCAACTCATTTGTCGAACTAGAAATTTCACAAATTTTATAACTAATTTAATTGATTTCGCTAATTATTAATTCAAAAAAATTCTTATTTTAAAATTCAATTTTTATTTTTTAATTAAATATTATTCCATATATACGTATACATTTTAATATGAATTAATATGAGTAAATTAATTTTTATATAAACTATAAAAATACTTTGAATAATATTAAAAATTGTTCATTCTCATTATAATTGTTATATAGTATATATATCGTAATAATACCGTTATAATTGATAATATTCAAAAACCATATAACAATTAAGAATATAATTATATGTAATCATATGCAACTAAGAAAGCATTTTTTAATGCATAAAATGTGTTGCATATTTTTAATTAAATATTTATGTTACGCTTGTTGTTTTTTAAGTTTATGATTTACACTGATTATGCACTTGAATATTTTGATATATAATTAGACACCAAATAATCATAAATAATAATACATAATTTGCAATATTTTACTCACATTAAAATTTAATATTATGATTTTTGTATAATAAAGTTTCTGCTAAAATTATTTTTTCCCAAAAATGCAATATTATGGATGTATATATGTATGTACACAAAAATTGCAACAATATCAATTTATCTCGCCTCCTTTCAAATTTAAATTTTAATTTAATATCAAAAATTTTGTAAATATGCCGAATATTATTGTTTTTTCTTTCTTTTATTAATTATCTTTAATAGTGTATATTATAGAATTATTTCTGTTATACAAAAAAATATTTTATTAGTTTCAAATATTTGAAATATTTTATTTTTTTTTTTTAATTTAAATAAGGATAACTATTTTCTTTTTATAATTCAACTGATCCTTCTAATAGTTCTAATGCAACTAGAATTAAAATCTCTTAAAAAAATTTTTTTTTTAATATACCTACAAAATTTTCTCTATGTACATTTTTATGTATATAATAATATATAAACATGATATATAACGTTTAAAATACATACATTCAAAATAATAAATGAAAAAGAAAATGAAAAAAAAAATTAAGCATGGAAACAGAATATTTTAACATTAATGACGTCATGTCTATTTATTATTTTTGTATATAAAAGAGAAAAATTAAAATAGAGAAGAAAAGATAAAAAAGCAAAAAAAAAAAAACAATGTCACTAAGGAGAAATTATTTGTTTTCGTGAGTGACGTCATATCTAGTTTTAAAAATAAATGACGCTATAAAAATATTCTTTTCTTTTTTCATTTCTCTTATATACAAAATTTATTATTTATGTTTGTACATAATATTAATATAAATGCAATTTTATTTTCTATATGTAGCGTACATTTAAAAATTTTTATTACGTCATTAATTTTAAGACTTGCGCATTTTTAGATATGAAAAGTGATTTTTATCTTTTTTCTGGTCTAAATATTTAATATTAAATCAAATACAAAAAAAAAATTTTTTCTGAAAAAATTTGTGTGTATGTATATACACATACAATAGAATAAATCAATATTATGTATGCATATAAATCATTATGTATAGACATAATAATACATATATACAAAGTTATTATTATACAACATTTGGCGGGAAATCAGAACTCATTTCACTCTGATAACATTATTTATAATTACATAATAAATTCTTGCACGTATATGTTTATATATGAATGAGAGCATATATATATATATATATATATATATTGGGTAAAATTTAAAATTGATACCTTTTTTATTGTAGGTATGTTGTAAAACAATAAAAAAAAAAACAAATTCTATTCTTTTTTTTTTTTAAATAAAACTTTCTTATTTTAGAATTTTTAAAGTTATTAATAAACAGTTATACAAAATATCGATAAGGTTTTTATTTTAAAAATAATCATAACAGAAAAGGAAGTTACGTGGGATTTGAATTTACCCATGATTCTATAGTTAATTTTATTTTTAGAAATCAAAAATTTTACTAACTTTTTCTTTTTTTTTTGTTTCTTCTATATGTTGTAATTACAATACGTAATAAAAAATCAAAATAAAACATTGATTACAAAATAGCAATAAAACAATTATAAATTTTTTAATTATAGTATAACAGTAAAGTATTATACAAGAGAAGTTTTATGTGTTTATATTGAAATGTATAAACTTTTAAACTTTAAAAATACCTATACTTAGTATTATGTAATAAATTTTGTTCTCCCCAGGTAAAATATTGCCATATAAATTTTTCGTATAACTGTTCAATAATAAAAATGTTATAAATATGAATATGAAATGCAATGCAACCAAAAAATTTTTTTAAGACATTTGCTTCCTTTTTTTTCCAAAAATTTTTAAAAGAGAGGAAATTTCAAATTTTATATGGTTTTAACTGTTATACATTTATAAAAGTTGTTTGAAAGGAAAAATGGCAGCGAAGACCATCAGAAAAATAAAAATTGCGGAAAATTGATGTTAATTTATTGAAAAAAAATTTTTTCATCATTCCATCTTTATTCTCTTCTTATTCTACTTATTCGTGTTATACGAACATTTTTTTTTTTGTAGAAAATTTTTACATGATTTTTTATAAATTTTTCATAAATAAACACACAAAATTTTTTATTGTGATACATGTACAGGGCACATGATGTGTACAATATACATACCGAATACTTTTCATAAAATTCTTTATAATTATTTCATTAAAATATTAAACTGCGTTAACATAAAATTTATAATTTTCAATATATTATATAAAATACCAGTACCTATAATTGTAAATAAAATTTTTCATTTAAAATATAATAACAATAATAGTATGCAAATTTCTTTATAAAAAGCCTTAATAAAGGTGTATACCTACATAAAATTACAAATTAAAGTAAATTACTTGGTAGGAATATCAAATTATATATAGAATGCATTGTATTATATAAAAAGGATATAAGTGGGTAGAAAAACGCCTACTGAAAATTCAACTGTATTCAGTTTACTTATGTATGATAGCAAATAATTTTATTATATAATTAAAGGATCATTTATTAAAGTAAATATATCATTATGTGTATATATGTGTATATATAACTGAAAAACAATATGTATATATAATTAATTTAGAATATAAATTGCATATTTAGAATAAAGAAATTTTTAAGTATGAACTGAAATCAAAATTGGAAAATAATTTTAATATTTGCGTTTAATTATTTAATATTACTGTAATTATTTCAATATATTTTTTTAAGTATTTAAATATTAATTTATTTATACATGAAATAAAATAATTTAAGAAGTATGCAATATATATTTATTTAAATGCATTAAAATTTTAATAAAATATTTTCATTGTTATGTGCAAATGTAATAAAAATATTAAATGAATATAAGCTATACATATATACCTATTATGTACAACCAAAACCAAAAACACAATAAAATATAAAAATGTCCTTTAAAAAAAATTAAAAGAAAAAAAAAATTTTTTTTCTATTCTCTTCCTTCCTTCTCTGTCATATTTTTTTTTTTTCATTATTATTTATACTTTTTTTAACAACTTTTCATATTAATATCTGTCGTCTCTTTTTAAAATATACATAGGTATACATATATGATTGGATTTACATGTGAATGTAGATTAATATTAGACTGTCATTTTATATGAAATGATAAATACTTTTTTTTCCTGCTCATGTCATTGCTATTTGGTAAATTGATTTTTAAATGAGTTGTCCTTGAATGATGATGATTTTATTTATACAGTATGTAGAATAATATTATGATGGTTATTATGATTGTTAATGTATGTACATATGTACATTGTGTAATGTACATGATAATTTAACAATATGTATATATATAATTATGAATTAACATGTATATAGGTATGTACATGTGTACATTAATTTAACAAAATAAATATATAAATTCATGTTAATTAGAATTGCTTTGTGGGTATACATAATATACAAATGAAACCAAATTCATATATAGAATAATGATAATCATATATACTAGTATAAAGATATCTTAACAATACATAATACACTAGTCTCTAGATATGTACATACGTTTATTTTTAATAATGTATAATTATGTATAATTGTTTTGTAAAACAGTGGTGAACCGCTAAATTTATGAATATAAAACTTTCATTAATAATAAAGATTAAAAAAAAAATTCCTTTTAAAAAAAATTAAGCCATTTGTGTAAATGGAAGGAAGTTAGGTCTAGTGGA